GAGATAAGCTCTTTACCTTAAAGTTCTAGAAAACTCTTATCACGCTCTTAGGAATAAAGCAGAAAATATTAACTATATTCTATCCTTAGACTAATATATAGATAGAACGAATTAACTAGATAATAGAGACTTATCTTTAGTATTATATAAACTATAAGTAGGATAACTAGGTATAACTACTCCCACTTGCCTAGTTTATATATAATAGCGCGGATCAAGAGACTATTAGAGTATCGCTATTCTATACGAATTATAGGTATAATCCCATGGTATATAAACTACTAATAGCTGGTTAAGGTACCGCGTAAGAAGCTATACTATAAGTAAGTAAGCTTAAATAGCTCTATAAAAAATTATCAGCTGATATTCTCTTTATCACGTAAAGATCTGTGATCTACTATAATAGAAAGTGTAGTATAAGACTAATACTTAAGGAAAGAGATAAAGTCTACTTACTTAGAAAGAATATTATAACTAAATAACTAAGTTATAAATTAGATTATAAAAAGCTAGGACCATTTAGGATTACTAAAGTCAAGGGACTAGTTAATTATTAACTAGCTCTACTAAAAACAATAAACATTCACCCGGTATTCCATATATCTCTCCTTAAACTAGCACCGCTAAGAGTACTACTAGCTCCTATTACTAAAATACAACCGATTAATCTAAACGCTGAATACGAAGTAGAGGCTATCCTCGACTATTAGAACTACTACAGTAAACTATAATATTTAATTAAGTGGAAAGGGTACCTATAGTCAGAAAATACCTAGAAACCTAAGTCTAACTTCTACTACTTTAAGTTACTACGAAGTTTCTATTAATAAAACCTAGATCTTCTTAGAAAGAGTTCCTAAAGTTAAGTAGTAGTTTATTAACTAAGGGGAACTTAGAGGAATCGCTAGCGGATAGTAGTATAAGTAGCTGAGTAATAGAGGCTTACTTCTTCCTCTCCGCTACTCCCTGCGCTTTCGCTTTTTCTACTCTTTCTTTTACTTTAGCCTTATTTAACTTATCTAGAGTTCTTAGACTACGACGAAGTATTTCCCTCCCTTGCTCGCGAAGCTTAGCTTAGTGCTACTTGAGCTTACGGATACGAGCTAAGCTAGCTATAGCTGCTTTAAAAGCTATATCTCTCTTAAACTTTAAGCGATCTTTCTTTATCTGAAGACTTTAGAGGTTATTAATAGAAACCTAAAGAGTATTATATTTTATACTGCGATAGATATACTCTCTATACCTTTAGGACTTTTTATTTAGGATTACGTAATTACGATAGTAGTAGATATAATTAGAATATAGTATACTAAGCGAACTATAAGAGTTAATCGTTTTAATAAGTACTATCCTTTATTTATATTTAGTAGTTTTAAAGGATATAATAAAAGAAGAAGATAGCTATAAGTTGTCGTTGATATTTCCTTTAGTATACTTAAGCATAGGGACTACGCTAAGCAGGAAAGGGGATAGTGTTACGAATGCACTCAGAAGGAGTATCACGTGTATCTTAGCCTTAAGGCTCAGTAGCCTTGCTATATAGAGAAGCTAAGAACTAGGAACAGAATTATAGGACTATATATCACGTAATAGTATAGAGCTTTTAGAACTATAGGATCCAAGGTTCCTAGAGCCTTAGATCGTAGTATCTTAAGGGATCTAAGAAGAACGAAAGTTCTATATAAGACTAGTATATCTGCTATTAGATAGGAGCTTTATACTTAACTTTAAATAGTATTCTAATACTTAGTAACTATCTTCTATCTACGTGATACACCTACTTCTCGATTATTAGAGATTAACTGCAGCTTTCTGTATTTATAGCGAGTAAATACCGGACCGTTATAATAATCTACTAATAACTAGTTAAGGAATCGCGTAGGAGGCTATACTATAGGTAGATAGGCTTAAGTAGCTCTATAAAGAATTATTAGCTGATATTCTTTTTATTACGTAAAGATCTGCGATCTACTATAATAGAAAGCGTAATATAGGACTAACGCTTAAGGAGGGGGATAAAGTCTACTTACTTAGAAGGAATATTATAACTAAGTAACTAAGTTATAAATTAGATTATAAGAAGCTAAGATTATTCAGGATTACTAAAGTTAAGGGACTAGTTAATTATTAACTAGCTTTACTAAAGATAATAAATATCTACTTAGTATTTCATATATCTCTTCTTAAACTAGTACCGCTAGGAGTACTACTAGCTCCTATTACTAAAATATAACTGATTAATTCGAATACTAAATATAAAGTAGAAGCTATTCTTAACTATTAGTATTTCTATAGTAAACTAAAATATCTAATTAAATAGAAAGAGTACTTATAATTAGAAAACACTTAGGAACTTAAATCTAACTTCCGCTATCTTAAGCTTCTATAAGGATTCTATTAAAGAAATCTAGGTTTACTTAGAAGAAAGGGGACTTAAGGTTAAGGGCCGGGCCCTTAAAGAAGGACACTAAGTAAGCGTTAAGTTTAAAAGTAGGGAACTAAGAAATAGGATTATCCTTAATAAGCTTAGAGAGAGGTATTAAAAGGCGAGTAAGAGTCACGGTTTTTCCTATCTTAAACTAATATATAGGTTATTTAGGAGTAAACCTCTTAATATACCCCGAGGTATTATAATTATAACACTTTAAGTAAATATACTTAGAGTATTATTTTAAAATAGATAAATCTAAGAAGTAAGTATAGGAAAAGCTATAGTAGAAAGAATAAGGCTTTATAAGTTACGTAGTACGCTTAATATAAAGCGCGAGCTAGATATTCTATTTTTTCTTTATCTAAGTGATACTTAATTTCTTTATAATATTAGATATAATAGATAAGGAAGATAGTTATTAGTAATTATCGACGTTTCTTAAGGTTATACTTAAGCGTAAGGACTACGCTAGGCTAAGAGGGGGATAGTATTACGGACCTCTTAGCGCTATAGTTCAGTTAGTACTTATATAATAATAAAACTATTAGTAGTACTATAGGGGTATTAGTACTAACAAGGGAGCAGTATTATTAATAGGGTAATACTAGCTAGGGAATAATAATAGGATAAGCGAGTAGTACTACTATATACTTACGCTTTAGTAGTAATAGTTACTTAGATTATAGTAGATAATAAGTCACGTGATAGATCCCTGGATCCCTAGATCCCCTTATAGGAAAACAGATCTAAGGATCTAAGGATCTAGTATCCTAAGGGATCTAAAGCGAATAAAGGTTTTATATAAGATAGGTATATCTGCTATTAGATAGGAGCTTTATACTTAACTTCAAATAGTATTCTAATACTTAGTAACTATCTTCCGTCTACGTAATACACCTACCTCTCGATTATTAGAGATCAACTATAGCCTTCTGTATTTACAGCGAGTAAATACCGGACTGTTATAATATCCAGCGATCCAGAACACGCGTTTTCTGTGGTAAAAATCACTCTTTCGGATCGTCGGAATAAGATAGGTATATATATAATTGAATATCTAGAGTGTTTAAAGTCGTGGACTAGTCTAATTAAGTAGGAAATTAAAGCTAAAGATACGGAGGTTCAACGGAATACTCTTTTAAAAGGGCTAGGAGTAGAGAAAGTAACTAGAGACGTAGTAAAGGTAGATTTATAGGTAAGTTTGTCCGTTCGTTCTTAGTAACGACCTCGTTCCGTTAGTTTATATACTTATAAAACGAACGGCGGTTCGTTATTAGGTATAGAAACGTCAGTTCGTTCAAAAGCCTTAAAACGACGTCGTTGAACGGCCGTTCAACTATCGACTACACTGGGTAGGTAGGTGGGTAGGTAGGTAGGTAGGTAGGTATTAAAGTGAAGTGAAGTGAAGTGAAGTGAAGATTAGTAAGTCAAGTCAAGTGCTGGTCATTACCTAGCCTAGGTAACCTTATCGAAACTTACCTAGTCTAGTCAGTGCGCTTAGCGATTGAGAAATGATATCAAGATCAATGCGATGAAATGAAATGAAGCGTAGAGTCTAGATTAGTGTCTGAGTGTCTGAGAGGAAGAACAAAGCAGGAGGGGGGAGAAGGAGGAGGAGGAGGAGGAGGAGGAGGAGGAGGAGGAGGAAAAATAACCATTGTGCTTGTGAGTGGCAATATGACATAGGGGAAAGAGGGGAAGGGGGAAAGGGGAAAGGGGTAAATAAGATATAAGCGAAAGGAACGAACGAAATAGGAAGAAATGAGAAGGAATGAAAAGAGAAGGAATTCAAATAGAAAGTGATAAAAAGGGACGAAAAGGGATAAGTGTTTAGACTGAAGAATCGTTTAGGATAGAGCAATCGGTACTAGGTGACTGGCTGGATGGATGCATGGATGGATGGATGGATAACTGGCTGGCTGGCTGGCTGGAGATGGAGGAGGTCGAAAGAGTGCGGATAGAAAAGGGAAAGAAGGAATAAGGAATAAAGAGGAGATAGGAGGCGAGAAGAAAAAGAAGATGAGAAGAAGAAGAAGAAGAAGAAGAAGAAGAAGAAGAAGAAGAAGAAGAAGAGGAGGAGGAGGAGGAGGAGGAGGAGGAAGAAGAAGAAGAAGAAGTCCGAACTGCGGATTTTGGCACGGCTCGAAATAAAACTATGGTACAAAAGCACCTCCTGGTGTTGGTAGCTAGCCATCCATGTCCTTGATAGATGGTGAATATATAAGAGTATATATATGTTTATATGTGTGTGTAACTATCAGCTCAACCACGCGACGGGATGGTAGCTTTTCCGGTAGATATATCCCAGTCGGTCCAAGGAACTCCATCACAAATCCGTAATCCGAAATCCAACACCCAATATCCAATATCAAGACCAGGAACCGGCCGTCTGCTCCAAATAATACACCGCTAACCCAAAAACCAGATTATACCTATCCGCTCAAACTCCACGCTAACCGAAAAAGAATAGCAATACCAGTATTGACACAAAAATCCTCCCTAACCGTCTCCTACCCCACCCATCCGTCATGACCCCTTAACCTCCCCCAACCTAAAACACCTCTCCACACTCCCCTCCGCATTCCCCCACCACCGCGGAAACAACACCCTTCCCCCCGCACTAAACCCCATCCACAACACCAACGCATTCAAATTATACCCACTATCAAACGCCGCCGCAAGGATATAATTGTACCGCGCCCACACCTCGTAGTGATACCTATACGCCCAGAACATGACTACGAACCCCCCGATGATGCCGGAGAGGTACCCCGTTGATATGTTGCCCCAGAAGGTGGACAGCGTGCAGAAGAAGATGGTGCAGTTCCAGAGGTGGAATTTAAGGCGGGATTTGGGGAAGAGTCGGTGGAGTGTGTACAAGGTTAGGGGTACGAGGGCCCCGAGGAGGAAGCCGTAGGGAAGGGGGCGGTAGATTGGGTGCGTGAAGAGGCGTTTGGGGCCCTGACATTGTGGGTTAGTCACTTGCTTACTTAGGGTGGGAGAGAGAAGTACATACAACCAACACATACTGCGTCGCAATCGTCAACTGCAGCGTCAACGTCTGTCCCGTCCACTGATTCGCCGGATCCTTCGTCTCAGCAAGTAAATAATCCCCCTTCCTATCAAGCACCCATCTTATCACCGCATAATTGATCGGTACACCCACCAAGGACCCGAAGATCTGAGAGAAGAATACTGTTTTGGGCGGCACGTGCATGTAGTGCCCTAGTTTCTGGTCTTGCAGGAGGTATTGTGCGCGGTACCAGGCGTTGCCCGCGATGGAGCCGTAGATGGAGGCACCGACGGGGTTTTTGTATCCGGGGATGGCGTTGACCATTAGGCCGTAGAGGAGCTCGTTGGTTGTTCCGATGGGCTGGGGGTGTTAGGCGTTGGTGATCGGGAAGAAGAGGGAGAAAGAGGGTGGCTTACTAGTTGGAAGTTGGAGAGGGAGTAGAGCCATCCGAGGGGCTGTATATATTAGGTTTGCTCGTATCTTGATAAGATCGAGTAACTCACAATGACAACGATAGCTCCAGTAGCTAGTGCTATGAAGTATGTCCATAAAGGGATGTATAAATACCCAGTCCCGATAATCGTTACAATGATGACGAACGATACTAGGAACAGAATCATGAACCATGATAGTGGGACTTCATCATACGAACGCATTAAAACGTTCAGTTGATCATTGTACTGTTCATTGACAGTCAACTTCTTCCCATCTCTCGAAACTCGTTGTCGTTCCAGGAACTTGATGATCGTTGTTTTGAGATGCGGATATCCAAATAATCCCATCCAGACGAGGACGGAGGTGTAGGATGCGTAATCGAAGAACGTACCCCATAGGAGTTGAGCACCAATGTACAGAGGTCCGTATTCGGCATAGGCAGTTTCGTTGAGTGTTGCTTGCGGCGTGATGAGTTCGAGAACCGGATATCTGGTTCCGTTTTCTGGCTCGTCAGTCAAGACAACATGAACGGGAGGAATATCTTACCCATAAACAGCCGGTTAGACATCAGCCCATGCTCCCAAATGCCCAAACCTCCCCATTTAGCAAGCGGCAACAAAATCCAGCAATTGAGAACGAAAGCCGAAAACACAATGACCTGAGTATACCACGGCGTCAAGAACAAACTTCCCATAGCACTGAGATTCCCAACACATGACCAATTGAGGGATAAATTCAGGAAACCCATCCCGCCTAGTCCACCACCGATGAAGTTCGCTGCGGAGTTGTTGGGTGCTACCCAGCATAGAAAGGCTAAGGATGAGAGCATAGGGAAGATGTATTCTGGAAGAAATTGCCATATAGCTACGGCGAGGAGGGTGAGGAAGAATACTCTCATTTGGCGCCGAGATACGGGGGATGGGAATTCTCGTTGGCGGGTTTGCGTTTCGAAGAGGGCTGTTTGACATAGGCTAGATGTGTTAGTGGCGTATGATATGAGAGTTGATTAACTCACGCGTCGAACCTAGATATATGTTAGTTCTGGTCATGAAGACCATGATTGAGGACTTACCATGGCTGTTGAGGATCATACACCAAAAACTGACGTCCAATTGCCGCATACGAATACCCCGTCCAAACAATCGCCAACATGAACGCAATCCATATCGCCGGGTTGATCTGATCCTTGAAATACAACTCCGATAACGAAAGTGGTGCCCACGCTAAATTATACGTCGCACCACTCGCCGCCGCAATCACAACAAGAACATGCTCCTTGACACTAAACGGCCCCGGATTCGTGTTGAACTTCCACTTCGTAAACGGCACCTTAACCTCCCACGACGGCATAGTCCTCCCCATCCAATCCCCCACATAGCTAGCCGCTATCTGCACAAAGAATATCGAGTATGGAGCGGAAGTCGTGCGAAACATATTCAATTGCTGCAGAAATGCACCTGGTGGCACGAACAGGAATACTAGCAGGAAATAGCGGAATGTGATGGTTGGTAGAGTCGTGTCGTCGTGCAAGCTGACGATTCGTCGGACGTGCCATGGTAGGTCCCGGATTGCTGCATCTTCTGGTCCGAGATCTTCTCCGACTTCTTCTGATTTATACTCCGGCCCTGATTTCTCATTCTCCTTCTTCTTTTTCTCCTTCTCCTTCTCATTCCTTTCATTGAACTCAGATCCAGGGGTAGTAACTTTCGATTCGTCTGGTGGGATTGCGGTTTTTTCGGAGGCGTCGGAGGTTGAGGATATCTCTGCATCTGAGGTTGTGGCTGGAGATATGCCTTCCAGCACACTTGCACTTAGTCCTTCTGGAAAGTAAGACATCTTTGTGATGGTCGTAGCTGCTGCCACGTTGTTTCTGCTGCGCAGCGAAGCTTGACGCTCGAAGTTTCTGCGATTGAAACCTTTCTTCCTCCCTTTCCTTCCTGCTTTCCTTGCTTCCCTCACAACCCTTGCTTGCTGTTTATACTTCGGCTTTCCCGATCTCACGAACACCAACGACAGCAGCAGCATCAACGACAGAAGGGCGAAGACCAGCGTCTATCGAGCATTGTGATGAGTAGGATAAGCTCATCGTCGTTGAACAGAACAACACAAAACAACACGACGATGGAAGAATGAGTGAGAGTGTAAGAGTGGTGGTGGCTGATGCAGCTTCCACCATCAGGTCATTCAGTCGTCAGTCAATCAATACATTTGCTCACTCCCCCAGTCCAGTCCAGACCAGTACAGGCCCAGTCCCCATGCCCGGTACAATTTTCCACCCCAAGCGGCGGGAGCTGAAGAGGAGTTCGTGCGCTGCAACGCCTGCAAGCGTGCTCTCCCCCAGCTCTCTTATCTGATTTATCCTTGCCATTGGCACGGCGTTCTAGGAAACTCCTAGGGTGTGCAGCGTCTGTGCCGCACTGGAGATAGCGGGTGGAGGCCAGGGAATCCCGCTCTTGTCAGATTACGAGCTAGGGGAGGGGTACACCGCGTGGTAGGGGTGGGGTGGACGCTGGACGGTGGGATTGGTTCCCTGTAGACAGCCTGTCAGGTCAAATCCAATTCGGCACGGGGTGCCATACAAGGTCTGTCAAGAAGGGAACGGCTCCCACGACCACGGCTTTTCCCCAAAGGCAGTGTTTGTGCTTATCAGACGAGACGTCTTGATGATTGCGGCTGATGAAATGGCGATTTTGCCCTCACGTGGGCTTACTTCCCGGCTTGCCGAAATGTCGTGCCGTGTGCTCGAGTGAGAGTTGGATGACTGCTATCTCTTGGCGTTGGATTTGGAGACTGGGAATATTGAACTCTGAAAAATGGACACCTATGTTGGAAGTTGAAATCTTAATATGATTGCGCTTCATCGAAACTCAATACTTGTGATTGCAAACTCAGATCAGCCTGGTCACATCTTTTCACCCTATTATTATGACATGATCGACCTCGCCCAGTCTTTCCAAACCATATAAATACTTCGAGACTTTAGCCTGTACAGGCACTTAAAAGGCCAAGGGTCGAGACTATCCATTTTCGGACCCAGCTGGTCGGTAACCCTTGTAAGCACATCTTCATAAACAGACACTCTCTCAGGAGTTTGAAGCGAAAGACGAATATTGAGAACCTTTAAATATCACGAAAAGTGGTTGTTAAGTTGTCTTTAGATTCCATGGGAGAATTACCCGCTTTGTTTAAGCTCGAACTCCTTGCTACGTTTCGCCAGCACGAAAGTGAGATAGCTTATCGTGACAGTCGTCGGTCTCTGCAGCTACACGGGGTCAGTAATGGTTTGAACAATTCTGTCGGAGGAGCTCCGCACTTTAAATCTTGTTAGTTAATCACACGACGAACATGTTTTCTTTGCTACAATAAGCTAAGCGAGCGTCGGTCCTGAAACACTTCCACTTCAAGTTATGTCGCCGCCCTGCTTCAACTGGTTTCAACAGAGCAAGTGGGCCCTTAACCTACTTAGCTGGTTGTAAGAATACTGTCTGTCCCCCCTACAGTCGCAACGTTGCCAGGAATAGTGATGTCAGGTCACTAGAAACAGCCAATTCGATCAGCGCATTTCAGACCAAGGCTCATCTCATATCAAAAGACTCTGTGCACCCCTGACGAGATGTTTTTCCGCTCTCAATGATCTAAAAATCTAGCACGGGTGAGCAAAAGGTCGTGCCTGTAATAAGACTCGTAGGGACAAACTCAGTAACAGATCCGGGATTCATTTCGCAGCTCTATATGCCATATACCTCTCCAGATCACAATTTTTTTTGTTTATCAAATGAGAACCACAGCACAACAAAATAATAGATATACCGTCGTGGATTTGATAAATTCGTAGATTTACATCAGATAACAAGGCAATGGCGGAAACTGACGTTGGCTCCCCCGTACATATATCCATGGAACCTCAGCTCAGTTCTCCTAATGCTCCGGAGTCTCCTGCTCCCTGTACTCTCACAACACTAGGCTGACCACACGCGACTGCTTAGCTTGTACCTTGAGCATCCCAAGAATATCAAGAAAAGCGCTAGCAGCAATGATCCCCACTGCAGCTTGCTTGCTTCCCGACTCCAGAAGAAACTATCAATTCCTCGAGCCTCCCTTCCAGTCAACACGCTCCTCGGCGCTGCTGTAGTAGTACTCCCCTTACCGCCCTTGTTTTTCTTGTTGTTGAACTTCTGGATTTCTCTATTGCGGTGACGTCCCGGATTTCTTATCATGCAATGCTGTCCGACTCTCTCCTTGGAGAGTGTGGCGGAACGGGGCGGGCAGTAATTACAGATAGTGTTGATGTTAACGAATTGATGAGAGTATATGCATGGCTGAGGGCAGACAGGGTGGCAGGTTTGGATATTTTGGAGGGATTCGTGGCCACAGGTCCAGTGTGTCGTGGTTTCGATGCACATTTGATGTAGTATGGAAGAAGGTTCTGTTGGGCGGGTGCTGGAGATTGGATTGAATTAAATGGACGAACAGTCGTGAAAGTCTGGAAAGCTTGGACAGAGTTTGATGCTTGAAGTGTTGATGGATGGAATAATTATGCAAAGGAAACGGAATGGGTCGTGAGCGTGATTTTATACTGTCTCGGACTGCTCCGGTCTCTGTAAGGCAGCCAAGGTACAATGCTGTGAGCCAATATTAGACGTACAATGACCATTGTCTAACGCTTTCTTCAACTCTAGTCTAGAAACACACCTTTGTTACGATTCGACTCTTTTGAATACGAAGAATGAGGGGCTTTGGTAAGGGAAAATGCTAAGGTTTCTTTGACGTAAAAACTCGAGGCTCTGGGATAGTAATGGTTGTTTTGCTAGCAAATGTGGCAATTCTTTTGCTTTGGTTGGAGACAAGACTGCTTCTCAGCACGTGAGTAAGAGATACTGAACGGAATATTTTCCTTCAGATGTAGTTATTTAAAGTTGGCTAGTTCCAATTTCGAGGCGTTCAGCTCATTCTTCACTTTTTTGCCCTTCTCAGCAGCCACTACAACTTCCACTTCCTTCCTCCACACCTCCGCATGTTCAACTGCTTCCGCTCGCGCGCCGACCTCCATTCCCATTTCATCTTCCCATCTTGCATCTTCAGCTTCCCTCTTCTTGTCCATCAACTTCGCCTTCAACATTCTCTTCCAAGCCCCAGCCTGTCTGTTTTTGAACTTCGGCGTCATCGGCTCTCCAGCTGTGATCTTGCTACACTTGTAGCAGACAATGCCAATGCCTAGACACCATCCATCCTCCCTGTCAAGGTACTTACTGTGTTCGTTACATGTTCCTTCGGCATTCTGTGGGCTTTCCGAGGAGCAGTCTTTGGTGAATTTCTCATAGTGATTCTCGCAGATTGAGCAGCGTTGGTGGGTTATGCACATGATAATTATTCGGATTTAGCTTTCCGCGTTTCGGATGGAGATGTTGTTTCGGGGATGCAGTGAGACTTTGGCGCAAGCGAAAGTTGTGGGCAGCAGAAATCTGCAGTGAAGATACTGGCGAGGAGTAGGAAAAATAGATGTGGAACTTATTCTGTTCTTAGATATAGAGAAGGACAACCGTGGAAGGTCTTTGATATCAACACAATGTCTTTATGCACCATACATCAAAGGTCTTTTGTGCTTTCCGCCACACCTAAATGTAGTTCTTTGACCCTATGAGCAGGTTCACACAAACAAGTAATTGTCACAGTTCTTTCATGGCCACCTCATTGTTCTCCATTTGCATAAGAAAAGGGGAATACATAAATTCTGACCAGGGTCTGCAACAATATCAGAGTAACAGCTCCCCGGTTCCTACTTCCCTGCGTTCTACTGTTCCCTAGGACCATCTCACTCCTCCCCTAAGAACCCTCATCCCAAGTTTCCAGTCTCCTTTCACCAGTAATACTTCCTATTCTCCTCCCTCCCTCCTCACCATCTCCTCCCACCACACACCCATGTGTCTCACCACGCCCACTCTCACGCCCGACCTCACGCTCACCCCGTGCATCATCTTCCACACTATCTTCAACTTCTTCACCAGCATGTGTGAATACCACTACACTACGTTCAAATGTACTCACACGATCCAAGAGTCCACAACCCTCTGCGCGGCCAAGATCCCCGGAGCCTGGACTTTTGCTTCGCCGGCGTGTAAAGATGGGACGCATACGAGAGAGAGTGATAGCCCGTGTCCTGCGTGTGATAGAGAGGAGATGGAGAAGAAGAAGAGGGATGCGGGGGTGTATTATTCGTTCCCGGAGTTCAGAGGGAGTAGAAGATGGTAGATTTGTTGGTGCGGGTGAAGTGAGGAAGGGCTTGGGATGAGAGGGGAGGGGATGACAGGTAGAGGATCACTTGCTGGTTCGTTGGAATAAAGTTTGGTGACCATGTTAGAAATGTTTGTTTGAGCTTCTTTGTATTTAGAGTAATTACAAGATTTTATCGTTGACGTGGCCAAGTACCTCAAATGCGCCGAGCTTACTAGGGGGTGTGGATGTGCACTTAAGCGAACTGAAACGTCAACATCAGGGTGGCAGCGGAAATTCGAATCAGGAATATGCGAGACTAAAAGCGGAAAAGAACTGCTACATCTGTGTAGCTGCAGTGTCTTCGGGATCTACCCCTGTCGGTAGAAATATCTAAACATAAATTACTGTGATGCTTTCTTCTTTCTTCTTCTGGTTAGATTATCTGAAGGTGCCCCGAATACAATTTTCCGAAGTCAATAGTCAATCAAAGCATGGACAGTAAACAATAAATATGCTTTCGCCTGCCGTCCCATGAACTGGTCAAAAGCTGTCAAGTTTGGTATGTGCCAATGTTCCGATATACAAGCTCCATTTTGTTGTAATAAAATAGCTACCTGGTAACTTTACATGAACAAGATCGCTTCCAACTCTTTCAATAAATTAAATAGCTTTCGGCAATGGGATTTGGTCATCATTTGTACTAATCTTATCCCTCTTCACATCTCGAGTCACGAACCACAGGATGACGAAGATCATCGCAAATTCGCCGACACTAAGTGCAGACATCACGGTGAAACCCAACTTAAACCTGGGTGCGTATTTTCCAACGTTTAGAATAACAACTACAAAGTAACAAAGGTTAGATATAGCTGGTAAGAGACAGCAGGACTTACCAGGAACCCATGCGATAAAGACCTGGCCCATTGTCTGCGCGACATCAATCACTATTGCTCGTTCTTCGGCGTCTTCGTGGCATATTTCATTCACCCATGCATACAACTAGTAGATCTTAGCCATGTTCTGGCTCCGTAGCGAATTAACTTACCACAGGCCACAGCCCCCATGAAGCTGCGTTGATGAGGTATCCAAAGAAAGTTGCGCCGTATCCAGGACCAGCAGCCACGATTACCATACCAACAAAGTTTATGGTCTGTAATCATCAGCTGTTTAGTCGTAGTTCGAAGAAGAAGAAGAATGATATACCGCTGGAACAATCATAACCTGCCATCTCTTTCCGCCAAGCCCGTCAGAGATCCAAGCATAAGCGAGTGTTGTGACAAGACCCAGTGCTTGTGCAGCAGTGGGGAACAGGTTGATCTGATAGACAGTGAAACGATCAAGCGACTTCAGCCAAACAGAAAAATAGTTCAGCGGTTGTGTGATAACGCAGTGGAATCTGGCTTTTTGTCAGTGCTAATCACTAGAGGAAAAGCAAAACTCACATGAGCATCAAGGTGATCACCCAAATTGGCCAATGCCCCAGTATCTTCCTGATTTTCACCCAAGAAAGTGGCACAGGTGCTCTACGATCAATTTGTTCCATCCTATCAATATAGAACTGCTTGGTGTCTTCTGGCATCCATCTCGCTTTCGTTGAATACGGATTATCAGGCACGGCGTAGTACCCCCAGATGGGTCCAGGAAGCGAGATAATGCCGCAGAATATGAATAGCCAACGCCAGCCAGGAAGACCGAGGCGACCGTCAAGTCCTTTGTATATCCCAGCTTGGAGATAACCACTAAACATACTCGCGGCGTATGATGCGGAATAGAAAATAGCTATCCGCTTGCCTAGTTCTAGAAATGGATGTCAGAAAATGACCATCCCCATGGAGAAGCGGTCAAGCATACCTCTGGGAGTATATTAACTTCCCATTAAAGTGATAACTCCAACTGCGAAAGGACTCTCCAGCATGCCAATGAGAAAGCGGAGGGCAAACACGTGTTTAGTACTTTGCACTACGGCGAAGCAGAACGTGATTATGGTCCAGAGGAGTTCGGCTGTGGGAAGATAATATGATGGACGAACTTCTTTGATTAGACTACGTAAATCTGTGACTGGGGAGGAAAATACACACGTTTTGTTAAGAGAAGTTGAGACGGTATCTGGCCAACCAGGTATCCCGATGTGAAGAAGGTTGCTAAAAGGTTGTATTGGTTTCCGTGAAAATTGAGATCCTCTTTCATTCCAGATACATATGCATTTGCTACAACAAGAAGCCTCAGCATCCATATCAAATCTATTTTTGAAAACAATCACTTACTGATGTTCCCGGAATCCAAGAGGCGAATGAAGTATCCATAGGTTGCCCAGCTCCTGTAGCCCGGCACTTATCAGTGCGAGTTCTGCAGATCAATAGTATCGACAATGCTCACATGATGAACAGATCCACCCTTTGGATTAGCTTTCTTTCCTCGCGAGATCTTGGTCCGTCCCAAACAACCTCTTGCAGCTTCTGCCATCTTGACTTCCGGCTTTGAACAACCGCATCCTGGACGACACCTTCAGAGATTACCTCCATTTCCTTGGCATCGATACCCATATTGTCAAAGAGGAACTTGATACAGGATAGACGATAGCTTTTGAAATCGAGAAAGCCGTTGACTGCGGTATTTAAGACAGATCCGCCTGTGCCTAGGCATTCCAGGTTATTGGGACAGACAGAGTGTCCACTTCATAAGCCACCAGTGGGTCATCATCCATGTCGTGTTTCTTCCCCTTGTATTGCGCCATCAAGTTTAAAGACTCGCTAGGTCTCTTAGTGCCTATGATAACTTGGCCCTACAAAATGGTCCAAATAGCGATGTCTGTGCTGAGAAATGTCGATATTGACGGTCCTTAACTGGAGTGATGTCCTGTAACAGACCACCAATTGAATTTGCATCCATCCCACTTCTGGTGTTACGAAAAATCCATAAGAGATTCCATCATGAATTATGTAGACCACTTGATCGGCAATTGCTAGTTTTTGAATTTCGGAGATAACGTTCGAAGACACCGGAGATAGCTTAGAACCGCTTTGCAAGAATGTGTGATAATGAGAGGAAACGTTTTATGTCATGCTGAGGAATTGTCACTTTTCCACACTTGTTTTCTCTCCCATTGCTATGTACTTGGGGCGCTCGAAAGGTCATCGCTAGCTTTTCTCTTTAGGCTAGGTACCATATGCTTATACTTGCTCCCCGTATGGTCATCCCTTAGCCCTCTTTGGCCCTGTCCAAATATTCGTTCCCTCATTGTGCCAGACTCACCCTTCGGTGCGTATCGTCCTCGTTTCCTCAGTTCGGGGACCACTAAATGCACCAGGTCTTGGAAGCTTCCTGGAGTGATAACATATCCAACATTAAAGCCATCTAAATCAGCTATATCAATCCATTCCTCCATCACATCCACCACTTCTTCTGCAGTCCCTACAGGTACCGGCCCACTTCCGCCAATTGAGATAACTTTGCCGATATTCCTCGGCGTCCATTTTGGGATGTCTGAACCGTGATACGTCAGACTTGAGATGAGAGAGTGTACTTTAGCATCGAGTGTGGAGTCCTCGGGTTTGATTTCAGCATCCAAGTCAAACTTGCTTAAGTCTATCCTAGAGCCCCCAGAGAAAAAAGCAAGTCCTCCTTCAGCACTGGCATATTTCAACGCTTCCTGATACTTCACCTGGGCTTCTTCTCTGGTCCTACCGACTATTGATGTGAATATAGCGAAAATCTTGACCGATCGTGGGTCACGGCCAAACTCGGCAGCCTTTTCTCTAATGGCTTTGACTCGTGGAGCAAGAATATGAGGCGATAAAGCAGACACGAATATTCCCTCTGCATGAGTTGCTCCGAAGGAAATACCTGCTCTATTCATGTCAATTGATCCCAGTCTGTCTGTCAGGGTGCCTTACGGGGAGGTTCCTGCTTGAAATAGAAATGGCGTTCTTTGAGGCGAGGGATCCAGTATATGCGGTGCATCAACAGTAAAATGTTCTCCATGGTGGTGAACAGTTCGTATACGGTTGTAGTCGGCATATATTTCGTTCTCACAATCCTCAAGCAGTGCATCATCTGCCCAAGAACCTTCCCATAACCTGAAAATTATGTTCAATCTTGATGGAACGAGCGATTTTATGGTTACTCACTGGTAAAGAACTCGTAAAAACTCGTCAGCAATCTCATAACGCTGGTCATGTGCAATGTACTTGAGACCAACCTGCCATGATCAGTCTTGTTCCATCTCTGAAAAGAGCACATACTGCTCTCGTTGCCGATTCCTTCCAAGAAGTAACGATATTCCACCCAAACCTCCTACCCGTGAGATGGTTCAATGTAGAAAACCTTTTCGCAACGATATATGGCGATTCATAAGAAGTCGAAGTAGTAATTGCAAAACCAAGATTCTTGGTCACCGCTGCCATTGCGGAAATTGGCTACCAAATATCAGAATATCCTCCAATGAGTAGCTACGGCTGGGGCATTACAATCGCAGGATCACCCATCGGATATTGAGCTCCTGTCCTGATTCCTGGCTCGGCACTTCCCTTGTACACATCGTACTGACCAAATGTATCTGCAAGGAACAGTGCATTAATATCTCCTTCTTCAAGCAGTTTTGCTAAATTAGTCCAGTATGAAAGATCTCGACGTTTAGTTGAACTTTTATCAGTTGGGTTCCGCCATTGGCCGAATGAAAGATGTCCAACTGTGAACATGTCGAAGGCATTGATGAAGATGCGCTTCTTCCGAGGTGAGTTGGGCTCCCATGAGTTCGACATCTTCTTGTTGAACTGACAGGAATTCAAAGGTGTAGACCAATGTCAAATTGAGGTTGTGCTCAGCGTGGCGGGACAGGTCATAGGACAAACGTGCTTTCGCTTTTCGATACACAGAATCTCCTTGAGAGGCACCTGGACATCACAAGCTAGGTATCATCATGCTCTATCTATCACGACATCTTGGTTTCGTTGACGCATTTGAGCCAAGGGTGGGATTGTTTAGATTTGGCGAGAAACAGTGGGAATGAGGACCGAAGCCAGGGGCGGGTCGCTTATATATTGTGGTGCTAGTCATCCATCTTGCTGGGCACACCCACTTCGTTCCTCTGCTGTGATGTTGATCCGCAATGGCATCTTGTTTCGCAGCCGAGATTCAAGATAAGCTCCCACTCTTGGGAAAAGCTGTTCTGAAACATAACTGTTATGAAAGCTGATCACATCGGTCACCCAGTGTAGCCTCTCGACCATTTCTGACTACTCGTTGCAATCTCTCCGATTATGGCACCTCACTCTGAGTCTCCAAACGGCGCGGAGACTTCTCACAGCTTCAGGGTGAAAGAACCACAAATTTCGGTTATCAATGACTTCCCTATCGAAAAGAGTGTTTTCCCATCAGCAGCAGCAGCTCTGTCTGCCGAGGCGAATGGTATGCCCGATGTTTTGCTTGGAAATAAAGAGACTTCCAAGAGTTCAGCAAAAGTTCAAAGGAACATGATTGAGCTTTTACCCAATCAGTTGGCAACAGTAGCGCATAAAGATGCTCAAGTTCATCACTTTCCAATCTCAGATGTGGCGCAACCGATATCATGCTCAGAGATTGGCGATCCCGAGCCTGTTATTCATGAACCGTCACAAAGCTCAGATAATAAACTTAGGAATGCTCTATATCATCAAACACAAGACTATTTCCAGCCTTTTGACATCGGCAGAGTCGAGAAAACCTCTCGGAAGCCCCAACACGAGAGTACACAAGTCTCTTACTCAGCTCAGCTTCAAGCCGAAGTACAGCCCAAATCGAAACCAAGAGCACCCCTTCGGACAATATTTCCTGCTCTGAAAATCGAAGATTACCCAATCGACCAACCTGCCCCTCTCAAGGCAATTGTAGTTGGTGCTGGCATCTCAGGAATCAATGTAGGAATTCTACTTCCGATCAAGATTCCTGGGTTGGAACTTGTCATCTACGAGAAAGCCTGTGACCTGGTATTTACACCACCTCTTATGAGAGCCCCCGGCTAATGTGTGAATAGGGTGGAACGTGGAACTCCAACATTTATCCTGGGGTCAAGTGTGATGTTCCAGCAGATGTTTACCAAAGCACCTTCTCTCCATCGCTTGACTGGAGCACAACGTATGCAGCAGGTGCCGAGATCAAGGACTACTGGAAGCGCGTAGCCGAGAAGTATGATGTATTGAAGTACATAACTTTCAACAGCCTCATAACTCACGCTGAATGGAACGATGGGAGGAGCAAGTGGATCGTCCATGTGACCACCAATGGTATCGACAGTACCGAGGAAACAGACTTTCTCATAACAGCTACTGGGCACTTCAGCCAGCCACTACTACCGAACTACCCGGGGTTAGAGGAATACGAAGGGCATTTGCGACATAGCTCCAACTGGGATCCTGACTTTGACCCAACAGACAAGCGAGTCGCACTCATCGGGAACGGAGCATCTGGTTTGCAAATTGTTCCACCACTCCAGAAAGCTGTGAAACATTTGGACCATTATGCACGAAGTAAGACCTGGATAGCTGGTTCGTTCGGTGGCGAAGATATGACAAACTTTAGACCAGATGAAGCACGAGACCCGGCCAGATTCCATGAATATCGCAAGAAGTTGGAAGCGAAATCATTCAATCGGTTCGGTGGTATATTACGAGATAGCAAGAAGAGCTTGGAGCTGAGGAGCAACTTTGAGAAGCTCATGGCGCAAAGGTTGGGAGATAGGAAAGAATTGCTGGACTCGATCATACCAGAATTCTCGCCAAGTTGCCGCCGACTAACGCCGGGACCTGGGTATCTGGAGGCTCTGACCAAAGAAAATGTCTCGTACATCAGTACTAAAATCGAGCGTATCACGAAGACAGGAATCCAAACATCTGACGGTGTACATCGAGAGGTTGATGCTATCATATGCAGCACGGGTGCAGACATCTCGTTCTCTACCGCCTTCCCGATTGTTGCTCACAATATCAACCTCCAAACTGCCTGGCGACCAGGTGGAGATCCTGGATTCCCGGATTCGTACCTTTCAATAGCTGCCCCCAATTTTCCAAATCTCTTCTTGCTAGTTGGACCCAATGCCACAGGCCCCGGTGGCACATTCCCTAACGCGGTCGAAAACCAGGTAACTTACATTGCTAAAGTCCTACGAAAGGTGAAGACTCAAAGAATACGAACTATCACTCCCACGCAAGCGGCTACAAACGATTTCCGCGCGTATTGCGAGTCTTTCTTTCCACGTACTGTCATGAGCGAGAATTGCAGTTCCTGGTACAACGGAGGAATCGCAGGTGGGCGAATTCATGGCTTGTGGCCTGGGAGTGGAACGCACGCCAATATCGTGCGACGAGATCCTCGATGGGAAGACTTTGACTATACGTACAGGAGTGGAAGTGGAAACAGATTTGCTTATTTTGGAAATGGCTACAGTGTCATTGATGCACAGGCCGAAAATGACCCTGATGCGAAAGTCGACTTTACACCGTATCTGACAAGAGAAGCGGCTGAAGGGAAAGTGGATCTTCGGGCGTACAATGAATTATGGTTTGATGCTGGAACGGAATGGGATTCGCAGAAATATATCAGCGCGTGATGGAGGATGGAAGTTTGAGCTCGCATGTATTGTTCTGCAAGATGATCGCCCCTTGATAGAAGAACTTGGAAAGTAGTACAGTGATATAGAGATTAACGTCTCAATAGCCATTCTGCCAATCCTTCTAGAGATTTTTACCGAACAAGGGTATCTAACCCAATAGCGCTTTGGCATGCAGAATTTTTGTCCCTGTTCAATAACAATAAATTTAATGTCTTGTCGCAAATTTTATCCAGTGACAGAGTGAACTTCAGGGGAGATATAAAATGCAGGACAGTATTGGACCGATAACTTAACCATTCCTTTAGTCTGCGGACATAAACTCCGATCCCACCAAATAGCGAAAGCCAAGCGAACTTTGACACAAGGGCGTTGCTGGAGAAAGTGAAGTACACGGATGCCTACAGCACGTTCGATGTCCGGCTCCTCACAGAGCGTGGTCAGCAACCATTTACAATGGAAATTCCCTTTTACTTTCCAGAAAACGTTCAAGAATTCGTAGCCGTCGGTGGCAACTCGTTTGTTGGGCTCGTTGACAATACTACGGTTTTCAAGTATCCACGCACTGTCGGAGAGAAATCTGCAATTGCATCTTTACGAGTTGAAGCGCGAATTTACGAGGCTATAGGCCCTCATGATAGGATTATTGGGTTTCGGGGTCAAAAGGGTGAAGGTCTCTTGCTTGAATACGCACCTCATGGATCCTTAGCCCGATATCTCACCGAACATGCCGCAACAGAACAGCAGCGGCTCAAGTGGTCACGCCAAGCTACAGAAGCCGTTGCAGTCACTCACAGTAGAAGGGTTATACATTGCGATATCAAGGTCTCGAATTTATTGCTGGACACAGAATTTAACGTCAAATTATGTGACTTCCAAGGACGTCTCCTTGGATCGAATGGCCAAATCTTGAGCGATGGAGGATCGTCCGAGAATCCGAAGTTTTTCATGCCACGAGATGACCCTACACCCGCCGACTTCATTACAGATATCTTTGCTCTTGGCTCGACGATATTCCACATTTTCCAAGGCCACGCGCCTTTTCCAGAGTTAGACTCTTTCTCCGACGAAGACGAAATAGCCACAAAGTTCTCCTCTGGCCAATATCCAGCGCCGGACTGCACCTCTATCCGAGAAGTGCTTCACAACTGCTGGAGCGCGAAGTATAGCTCAGCAGATGAAGTCTTGTGTGATCTTCAGCAGATTTGCGTATCAGAGGACCAATAGAGAATGACAGACTGGTATGTTGCACCTACATTATATCTTATCAACTCAACTGGATTGAGGGCTTACAACGCACTAGAAGGGTCAAATTTCGACATCAGACATTGGACTGTACTATCTCAACACTTCTGAGACGCCTTAAACAATCGTACATCACATCTTCACATGGTCCATCGCTTGCAGCATACTCCATAGTTATCAGTAAAAATGCAAAAATTCTCTGATTGTCCCCCGTGTTTATTTCTCTCGTTGTTCTCAGCACAAATTTCATCTTCCATGGTATCATGTTGCAGCCTCTTGGCCGGGAGTTGACCTTTCTTGCTTCGTCATCTGTGTCGCTGTCCAACTCAATGTCAACGTTGAGGTTGCAAACACCAAGTACTGTTTCGCCGTCTCCCAGCGAGGTTCTCAAGAGATTGACCACGGTGATTTGTTTTGTCGAAATGCATCCGAGAAAAGATTGATCGAAGGCAGATTGGCACGGTTTGATCTTGGAATGAGGTTAACATCCACCGGAAGGAACATGTTCATTTTAAGCCCAAGATACTCGTTTATCTGTGGCTTCCACAATCAGCTAGTTCTATCTCTACCATACCATCATCATTCACAGCTCTTTGCGCTTAACTTTTCAGCTTATAAGACCGGAGAAGATCAACTACAGCTTGCGACGTCTCCGAAAGTTCCCACTTACCATCTTTCTTTAGAAGAAGTTGTTCGGCGGTTACACAAGAAAATCTCCAGCTATTTACTTTCTTCTTCCGATCTGCGCCTGCATCTAAGAGCATTTTGACAATATCTGCATTATCGTAAAAGGCAGCAAGGTGTAAGGGGGTACCCCAAGTTTCGGACGTGGCTTGGTTGGGGTCAACGCCGTGATCCAGAAGGAATTTAGTCATGCGCTCTCTAATCCCAGTATCCGGTCCACGCCAGCGAAGATGTATAGTAGTGAACAGAAAATTTGGTTCTAGCTTAGTTCCGTACTCAATAAGCATCTCGGCCATGTCTACATGCTGGTCCTCCAGCGCCTTGTACTGATCAAGAAGTTAGCGTGTAGTTTTGTGGACATGCGTTCAAACTCGGACAGCAGAATCCTGGCTCGCTTTCAGACCACAGGAAGCACAAGGGCAGGATATACAAACCAGGGCAGTCTCCCCACGGGGACCAGTGATATTGGGATCAGCTCCTCGTGAAAGAAATTCTCGAGCACACGCGGGGTCGTTAATAAAGCTTGATTTCTATGTCAGCTCTGAAATATCGGAAGCCATCAAAAGCACATCCATTTTAACAGAGACTGTTTCCACATATACTCCACATCTACTACGTACTTAAGAAGAGGCTCGCCACCAGTCTGTACCAGACTATCAGCGGGCTCGAAGTCCCGACTCTGGGACGCATTTGGATCCAAGCCGTTGTCAAATAAAAGGCGAAGAACAGCAGGGCTTTGCTCGAAATTTTCACCGTGCACGGCGTCCCTGACCCTGGGCGTGATAGGTTCACCGGCAGCCAGCAGCGCAGATATGACATCTACTACGCCAGGGTTGATACCTGCTAGCACGGCGGCCACAAATCCCTCGTTGCGGATCTTAGGGGTAAGTTGATCGCTGGCAAGAGCTTCCTGAACTTGTGACGAGTTTCCAGCTTCGCATGCATCCCAAAACGTGTGACAAAAATTCTTATCTTTATCGGCGGACGTTGATGTCATGATCGTGGATGCCCAGGAAGAAGGGGTAATGCAATGGAAGAAGGTGAGTTGTGTTTAGCGGGACGAAATATGGTGATATAGAATGGTGCTTCGCCTAGAACCAAAGATACTGCAGTGTTGCTTCTTCAACCCTTCTTGTAAAAAATATCAATTGTTGATGAGACATCCAAAGATCAAGTGGAGCAATAAATGTGTGTTTGTACAGGGGGATGTGCTGGATTTGGCGGCCGTAAGCGAGGTGTGGAGATACAACATTGCTTGTTATACGACAAGGCGAGCGAGAAAAAATGCTCGGGCCCTCTTGTTGTGGATACTGCATCCCTCAGGAAGAAAGTCAGACCTTCCCTAACCGAAAAGACTGTCGTAGTATACTTGTAGAAGGACCTCGTCGCGCCAAGCTCTTTCTCAAACTTCATCGCACCTTACAGAGACCTACCAAATAGGGGAGGTCTATATTTTTTTACTTGTACCCGCGGTTACATGAATTATTGTTTCACTTAGAGATGTCCTTGAAGTCACGAGGATACGAGAAATTGCAATTTGAACCGAAACGGCGAAGATTACTGCTACTTGAAGCTTACAGGCCTAAAAATCTCATGAAGATTGAATGAACACTTTGGCACAAAATAGCTGCTTTCTGATACTGCAAATCAAACATCCACCAACGTTCCTCAATCCGAAGCGAAAGCCCTGCCCTCCTTCACATTTGAGATCTTTGGTTTCTGCATATATCCTGAAGCCTCATCACACAGCAGCCGTCTCTGCTTTGATATATGGAGTTTCGTATGGGGCCTCAGCTTGAGGTGTAATACGAGCCAAATGTCGCCTCTCCCCTGTGGACCAGTCAAGTGTTGCCGAGTGGACAGTGACACGATTCTACCTTGCATTAGTACTCAAGCTTAATCATGATATCTGCTTTTGCACTTACATCCCAAACGACCACCGTTTTGGGTGCCCACTTCACGCGAACTTGGTAATCGATACCCCTCGCAATGTGAGCGAACAAGAACTGTAGCAAAGCATCTGACTCCTCTTTCTTGAGTCCAACGATACTACGAGTGACTGATCACGATTTAGCATGGGTTTCTACCAAGGTCGGAACCACAAATACTTACATCCAGGGTTAACAAAAAGTGCCTTCTCCCCCGTAGCGGGATGTGTCCTGATGATGGGATGTTCGTTCTTCACTGGCTCGCGTCTCACGACGCCACCCCTATCACGACTGAACTGAGCCTGCTCGAATCCGGAATGAAGAGCCTTCAATCCATGAAGCCTTTCTTTTAATGGTTCCGAAAGTCGATTATACGCCTCAACCTGGTTGGTGAAGAGCGTATCACCGCCTTCCTCAGGTCCATCGAAAATGTACAAGAATGTCGTTCCAGGAGGTTGGGCTTCATACGTCACGTCCGAGTGCCAGCTCACACTGCTATTACGGCCAGCGAGGAAAGAATCGAACTCGGAAGTTCCTGGCATTCCATACCGATGCACGATGTGCAACTCAGGGTAGCCTTCTGGCGAGCCGGAAGTAGGATGGATGTGGTGACGTCCAAAGTAGTTCCCGAAGTCTAGGGCTATATCCAGTGGTAGATCTGCAAGGTTTTGGTCTCGAAAAGCAACCACTTTACGTTGGGCTACCAAGAGGGCAAGTTGGTCTTTTCCTTCGGCTGAGAGCTGGCTGAGCTGCACACCTGTGACTTCCGAACCGGTGGTTGGAGTGAGTTTCTTGATCTTGCTTCCTTCGGGAAGAAGATCTTTGAATGTTGGATCTGCATTTAATCCGTGCTCGATATGTACAAATGGCTCCAGAGCCGGATATTTCTGGCCATGGTTCCACGTTGGCAGATATGCGGGGTACTGCAAGTATGAGAATTGTACCTAAAGATATCAGAATGGAGACATACCGATGCGTCTGTTTTTCCACCTTCCTCCTCAATCTGACGCTTGATCTTGACTGGCTCCTTTTCTTTGAGTGAGAATTTTTCAAAGGAGACTTCTGGGACATCTTCAGCCAGTTGCTGAACAGAGGGTGCCATGATGAAGAATGAATGCTCCGAGGGATGGGTCCTTGTATCACTTGTAATCGTGGTACCTGGAGAGATATGTTTGATGGTGGTCAGATTAATTTGACTCCCATCAGTTCTCTAGATTCATATATCAGCCAGCGGATGTAGTCTTCCACATCATGGTGCACAATGAAGTCTTGGCGTGTGATGCCATCCTTGACTCAGTATTTCGCCATCTCGACCACAAGTAACAGAACAGACATACCTTAAAGCCCCAGGGATTTTTATTGATGGAGTTAAAGCTTACCGACTATGTCCGTCGTCTAATGCCGTATGTCACCCCATCTTTCAACGAATATCAAGTGAAAGCGGCTTGTTAGGCACCACAGTTGGTCAGTTGGCCCAAAATATTGAAGTCTGCAAATCTTGTGCCAATCAAGATATGCACCAATACAGTTCAAACCAGTCATCCATTGAGAGGCTGCGAGTGCCATCCTTTGTCAGGGGCGTCCCACGATATTCGTTGTTCAGGTGATGATGTGCTTTTGCTGCGGATGGTACAAACGGGGGTTAAGCGAATAGCAACAAATCACACAAGAATCTCCCAAGTCGTCGCCATATCTTCCCCGCACCTTCAAGTCCTGGCTCCAGCAGTCAGGGAATTGCACTTAGGAAGATAAGATAAGAAGATCCATGATTATCAAATAAATATTATTATTTCTATCGTCTAAGAGAATGAGAGTCTGGGCGTCCAATCCCAATCACACGTCGCTGGATAGCAAGCAAGATCACGCAGTCTTTGGTCTCTTAACAAAGATGTTGTGAGTCCAGCCATCTTTTCCAATGGTGTTCTCTCGTACGAGCTCGTAGTTCCCAAGTCTTGGGAGGATCTGTGCCCAGATAACCCAGTAGATGGCACCGACGACGAAAATTCCAATGCCAACCACGCAGTGAAGCCAGTACGGCAAGGATTTGTAAACATTCTGTCCCTCATCAGGAGGCACATATGGGGCGATGACCAGAAAGAGATTGGCCAATAGGAAGAAGATCGTGACTGGCAGAGTGGCCTTGAATGGTGGTGCCCATTGCTCGGGATTACGGTTGGGCGAGAAGGGCTTGAGATAGAGATGAATGAGTGCGATGGCAACAAAGACGTTGACGATGGACAATGGGTATGAGATGATGCTATGATCCTGTTAGTATGGAATATGAGTATCCCTGGGAAGTGCTTGTTGCTTACTTGAGGATGAAGTTGTATGCATCTCCAGGGGGTGGAGCCAGCATAGTAATGACAGACACAAGCCAGTGCTCGAAAAGACCGACGAAAGGAGCGTTGAGTGGCTTGTTGCTCGACCAGAAGCGGGAGAATGGCAGGATACCCTCACGACCAATTTCTTGGACCACTTTTCGCTTCGTTAGCTTGGTTTCTCCAGGATCAGAGGGCTACTTACGTCTTCCTTGGGAGAAAATGACACTCAGAACGTTTCCAAATGCGGACAATGCCACGAAAACGGACAGGGCTCGCTCGGCCTTCTCACCCATTACATTGCGGAAGAATGAGGCTGCCAAAATACGACCGGAGCTGACAATCTCTTCTTTGGGAACGGCAGCAAAGTATGCAATGTTCACCAAGATGTATAAGATCGATACCAGAGTAAGAGCGGCAGGGAGGGCAATCTTCAAAGTTTTGACAGGGTTCTTGGTCTCTGCAAGTGCGTAGTTGGCGTTGGAGTACCCGATCAAACTCCAGATGACGTTGTACAGTGCAGTAACGATTCCATAGCTAAGAACTGTCAGTAATGACAGTAGAAGATCAGCTTGATAAAACTTACGCGCTTGCAGTTGTGCCCTCAAATGCATTAGTGAAATTCTTCGGCTTTTCATCAATCTTCAGATGTCCACCAAGGGCGACAAATCCACCGATCACGATGATCAACATGATAGAGAGCTTGATTATGCCGAGAGCATTTTGCAATCTCACTCCCCAGTTCAAAGCCAAGCCGTGAATCAAAAACGCAGTGGTGATGCAGGCCAATCCAATGCCTCTCTGGTTCCATCTGGTAACCTCCACGTTGGCGGCGTGCAAGATGTACTCTCCGAATATGACGGAGTTTCCTCCCGCCCAACCAAGAAGCATAACCCAAGAGGCGTACATGGCTGTAGCGAGAAACTTGGGCCTCGTGAATACATACTCGAGATAATTCTTCTCGCCTCCATTTCGGGGTAGGCCGGTTCCGAATTCGAGATAGACAGCTGCACCAGCAAAAGCGATGACGATTCCAGCCACCCAGATGAAAAGCGATAGGCCAACTGAGCCGGAGAGAGCGACAATTGAGGATGGTGTTGCAAAGATACCAGTTCCGACCATGCGATTGAAAATCAAGAAAATGGCACTGGCAAGCCCAAGCTGGCGACGCTCCGGACTGGTGATGTATGCCTCCACTTCTGGTTAAAGTTAGTCGATGCTGAGTGATGCACCGCAGAACATTACGTACCACCATTTCCATTGTCGATACGCTCACCAGCATGTTTCCCATCACTGCTGCTGCTGTTTCCAGGAGGAGAAATCCCTCCATCTCGCGTATACACTGCTTTCTCCGCCATTATTTGAGCCGCTTCTGAAGAGTGCACGTGTTGATGCGGCAAGCCAAATCGGCGCAGAAACAAGGATGCAAGTCAACTGTGCGCACTAGGGCCCAGAGACAGTGACGACTTAGTAAAAATTGAGTTACGATTGGCTTGAAAACATCAGAGGTACTAAAGAGGCTCCAGACGGTGGCTGACCCACAGCGAACGCCCGCATATTTATCTGTCCGTCAACTGCACCCCGAACCACACTCTAATTTTTTTTTTTGACATGCGATGCAATTGCAACATTCTGGGATATGATATCGCCATCTACGCTGCAAGGTATATATGTCTTGGTATTGAAAATCTTGTTCAAGCGAGCTTCTGGAAGTCTGATGTTGTTCGGTTCTGTTACGTTATTGGTTCCACTACGGACCGAACCGAGAGGCTGATGAAAATGTCGTGCTCGGAACTCTCGCTCATCACTGGACACCGGGAGACAACCGAGAAAATTTTGTTTCATTAAGCAGTTCGTCCGAGTCGTCTCATTCACGCAAAGCCTCTTTTTGCGGGTATCGTCGGTCCTGGATATTCTAGAAGCTCACTCCATCCGTGCCATTGGGACATGGTACACATTTGTCCAGTTGGCAAATCTTACCGCCTTCTCCTTACTTTCATTGTGGCCGAAAGCACGATTTTTGACATATTTGAGGCTCAAGTCTCATCTCCAAAGATCTTGCCACCTTCCTATACTGTCCTGCCATGCCTGGATCTCACGCCTCAAAGACGGTGTTCCTTGATGCAAAACGCCGCCAAGAGGGCGACAGTTGACCCGATTAGTGAAACGCCTATTTATTGTCAGCATGCCATGGAATGAGGCAATCCAACTGACAATCTCACCATGTGTGTACGTGAGACAGCGAACATATGCCTCGGTGACAAGCTGGCCTAGACGCCCTTCAAGCGATCGCACGTATTCAATATCTGACAGCGCCTTGGTAATAATCTGCACCATACTCAGCATCAATGTCCTCATCCATATGGAAAGATGCAAAATACCTGATCTCGGCCCTCCATTCCCTCTAACGATATTCTCAACTGTTTTCGCAAAGTACCTTGAAGGACAGCGGCAGCGATGCTGAGACCTCCCACCATACCGATGTTGGAACTGAGATATAGACCGGAACTTGCAATGGCCAGTTGGCTCGTATCTACGCCTGCAGTGAGAGCGATGAATGTTACACCGATGGCAATTCCATTCCCAAAGCCGCCCGGAACGATATAAAGAGACTCCAAGAAGGAGGTATGACCATGCCAGCGTGCGAGCATCAAGGCGTACGAAAGGGAAGCTGAGATTGCGCCCAGGATAGATATGAGCTTGTATCTCCCTGTTCTACTTATTGTCAGTGGCAGTCTGCAATTGTGTAGGATTCACCGCACCTTCGAATGATATACCCAGTAAGAAGTCCTCCAATGCAATTCCCAAGCACCGATGGCATCAAGTGCGCTCCAGCATTCGTCAAAGTCGCATGTGCTGAGATCTGAAAATATATGGGAACTAGCATCATCATCTGCCGAATATCAGCCTCTACTTATCATCCTCACTGTTCGAGACTTACACCTCCTTGTGCACCAGTCTGGAAACAAAGATTGATATACGATGTAATCACATCTCGATTCAACAACAGTCTCAGAGGGAATATGGGCTCCTTGGCAAAGAATCCTTCCACAAGTGCAAACAAACTCAGGCTTGCCGTCGATGCAGAAAATAGAGCCAAAATCAGCGGATCCGTCCACAGCATCCTCTGGCCCCCCATATCGAGAACCAGGAGCCCGCAAGTTATTGATACAGACAGGAACAAGGCACCGAGGAAGTCGATCCGTTTCAACTTTGCAAAGTTGGATTGTGTAGGACCCTCGTCTTCCATGGCGATGTTGAGCTTCCAGGCGACTAGAACTAGAGCCAGCATGGTCGGTGGACATTGTCCTAGGAAAGACCTGTTGTACCTGTCAGCTGCTGTGTAACTTCGACGGTGAGAACACAAACATCCGCCATCCCACAGTATCCGTCAAATATCCGCCAATTGGTCCTCCTAGACTTCTACCGGATGTTGCGGCGATGTTGGCATAGCTCCTCCAGGAAGCAACTTCTCGAATCGGTACCAAATCTATGGATGTTAGTTCGGCAACAGAAAGAGACCATCACGAATCTGACCTGCAATGACAATGGAAACAAGACATTGTATCCCAGCTCCTCCAACGCCTGCCAGAACTCTCCCGAGAATGACCTGCTGGAGCGACTGGCCCAATCCACTATGAATGGTTAGCCATTGGAAATCAGCAGACTTTGGTGAGCACATCGCTGCGTCAGCCGCTTCTCGTGGATCAGGGGAATACCTACCAAATAGCACATCCAACGATGAAGAATCCATACGACACAAGAATCGTACTTTTCCTCCCATAGATATCACTGAACTTCCCATACTACTCAACAAGTCAGTACAGTACTGACCTGCTTCCCGACAAGCATTGGAGACTCACCAGCGACTGCGTGGCACACATCGCCAGCGTGTACGAAGTAATCAGCCATTCTGCACCTTCAAGATTGTTGAACTCGCTGCTAATCGTCCCACTGGTAGCCAGAACCAAAGAACCATCTGCATTGGCGACGAAAACACCTTTGAATTTTGATCAGCCTGGTTCTGACAGCATTCAAAGACAAAAGTTCGAGAAGTTCCGTTCAATGGAAAAGTACAGGAAGTTACGATAGGAAGTCAGGGTTCCAAACAGAATACAATTGGAGAACCCACCGATCAAAAGAATCAATATAACCCCCGCGACATTTTGCGATTCCTTCTTGTGAGCCCCATCCTTATCTAGCAACCCCCCATTGCAAGCCTCCTCATCGGAGACACTCCCACACGAATCCCTACACCTCACTACTGGCCTCTTGCTTGATACCTCTGCTTTCAACAGGGGCGTTCTCTCGTCGAAGTCAGGCTCCTTCACCAATTCGGAGTTCTCATTGGCGAAGTTTGGCATCGGCGAGCACATCATCGTCTGAATTGCAACTAAGCGAATCGATGGTGTTTTTGGGGATGAGAATGGTGTGATCAGGATAGTGCGGGGGCAGGCACCTCGAGTTTTAACAGTTCAAATAAAGTTTAGAGATTGTCAACACTCGGGATCCGAAGAAAACATGACAGGAGGTGACTTTTCAGTTGATGGGATTTATCAATGCAGGTTTGTTCATATACTCCACAGACTGTGACACGGAGGTCTGCGGAGAGGGTGGAGTCTTCTCTCAGGTTCTGCACAGGGAAAATGTCAATCGATGAGTGCAGCCTGTATCTACCTGCGGCACAGAGAAAGGCAGAGGGAGAGAAGCTTGTGAAAGACAATTGCCGAGTGGCAGTCCTAGATCGGAGGAGACTTTCTGACGAATGTGCAAATCAAAACGCCTCCCGACAAGGGTGCTGGGGTAGAACTTGTAAGGAAACTCTGGTAACCATGCTTGTACTGAGTCTTGCTCTGATCTGATATTCAGCCTTTGATCCATGTAAATTTGTCTTCATTCTTGCTTGTCCAGGCTGGTCCAGCTTCTGCATGCTCAAGAATGCAACGCTTGTTGATATTAATTGGTGGGCAGGTCAGACAGTTCCGCCACTCCTGCTGCAAGGGCCGTTTTTGAGAAACGAGAAGCGTGCGGATTCGACTCTGCCAGCTGCTGTGTAACATGAGGTCTTGAGAACGGGGTGAAGGCAACTGATGGAGAGATCGAGTTGAAGGGGCTTCGACCTGTCACCGCATTGGGTCTTTGGCGGCAGTTCTGTTGCGGAGCCCAGTGTCCGCTCCGTTCGAGAAACAGACATCCCAGCATGTAGCACTTAGCTAATGAGCGCGGGATGAGGCAAAAGTGTTGCTTAAGAGCTCGTGGGGCACTCTTTGAAAACAAGGATCCAGTGTGTAGAAAAGTGTTAATGGAGGGAAAGCGAAAGCCAAGAGACGGCCGAAAACCATTACTGCTTGGCGGAAATCCCAAATGACCGGCATGCTCCGATTTACTCGATTTGAAGCTGTACATGAAGAGCTTATCCGCTGAAATAAAGTCCTATTGGTCTGGGACGTCTTATGCTTGCTGCATTGTACAAAGTTTCAATCATCTCTTATCTTTCAAGTCTGAAAAGATCCAATGGTTGCAACACCCTGAAATGAACGAAAGTCTTTTCTGACTTACCCCTCATTTAGTGTCGCGTACTTGAATGATTGTCTCGTTCCTGCGCGTATATGCGCGCGGAGCAGATTCGAGGCTGATAGACGGATTGCTGCAGACACTCGACCGGTGGTGGACGCGATGGATATCTTAGAAACTGCCCGATCATCAACCCAACCTGTGATGTTCCTCGAAATCTTTTAAATTTCTCCTTGCGTGAGTCTTCACCTCTAGATCACGCCCCGGTTTTTGCAGGCTAAGGATCTCGGATGAGCCCGTTCTGGAGTAATGGCAGATGAAGCGGTGTGAAGGACAAAGACAAGATAAGATAAGACCGGATATCCAAACTAGGGAAGTCGAGCTCAAGCAACTCGCCGCCCTGGCTTGCTCGGGCATGCGGCCATCTACCTCACGAGGGTCCAGGACTCGGTATGGAAGCCAGTATGTTGTATAAGAGGTTGATCATCCATTGAATACTTCTCGCGATACTTGCTGAAGGTAGGCCTGGTGCAGGTTCCATTAAAATGCCCCTGTTGCATCTACCATCTCTAAACTCCACATATGCCAGCCAACTCCAGCCCCGACCCCGTATGTAACGCCAGACCGTGCATGCCTATATTCATTCCCGTGGTATTGATTCCCTCGTACATGCTCTCAATCCCTCAGCCATGCCCTGCGCTTCTCTTCTTTCTTCTGTTTTCGCTTCTCCTTGAACTGCTTCAGCTCGGTCTTTGATATCTTCTTTCCACTCCGCTCAGCCTTCAGACTTTTTCCATCATGACTGTTCGCTGCGGCGTCGACATCGAAGAAGGCGTTCATCTGCCGCTTACTCTTGTTTTCGTCGTTGAAGTTCTCCGGGTTCAGATCCGCCGCTTGGTATCTGCCAGTGAATCTGTTGAAGGCAGCAGTTGCTGTGTATTGGGCCGCGGGGTCTACGGCTTGGCCAGCGGCTGGTTCTGGAGCACTGGGCTGCGCGTACCAGGCATTTGGATCGTAGTCGCCGTGAATTGCTGGGTTGTAGCCGGTTGTGGAAGGGGGAGCAGCCGGAGGAGTCTCGACAGGTAGGGGAGCTTCAACACCTGGGGGACCTGGTAGAGAGACATCGGGAACGCGAGGGTTTGTCCACTGTGTTGCGCCCGTGAACCGATTGTAGAAGTAGAAAGCTTGGGCTGTCTCCTCCCACACCGGGGCCCATCCATCATCTTCCTCTGTCGCAGCTGGTGGGGGCTCTGAGGGTAATGGAGGGAGGTCTTCGTTCGGGAGAGGTGGAGCTTCTTCTGTAGCAGGAGGTGATGATTGCTTGCTCGCGGGTTGCCCCTCGTTTTCTTTCGATGGGCCCTGTTCACCTTCACTCGCCTCACCATCCTCCTGATCTGAAACATCACCGGACTCTGGCGATTTATCAGCCTCCTGCGCCGGTACCTTTTCTTCATCCACATCCTTATGCACCGACGAATCTCTGGCCGAGCTATCCACCGAAGTGGGAATCTGCTCTTCTCCCCGCTCCGTCACAGCTGAAGCCATGGTCTTGGAAGATCAATGCGCCAATACTCCAAATATCCAAACAAAGGAAAGGCGTCGAACCCTGTAGTGTTGGTAGTATGTAAAGTTCTGCAAGAATAGAGTACATTGGAGTTACAAGTTGTGACGCATTTAGGACGTGACGCTAAGAAAATACTAGCGCGCTCTGCACGTGATGATTTAGTGAGGCTGAAAGGTTGTAGGTTTACACCAATGAGGAGCCAGACACGCCGAAGGCTGAGATGGGGTTTCCCCAGTCGTATTACATTTCTATGGGTATTATACAATACTATTTAGTTGCCTTGAGAGCTGCCTCGGCTCTTGCAACAGCATCTCTTGCCTTCTCAAGAGCATCGTCCTCAGCCACAGCAGGCTTCTTCTCCTTGAGCACGTCGCCAACCACGCCTTCGACAGCCCTCACACATTTCCGACCCTCTTCTCGGACTTCTCCTTCCCAGAATTTCCTTGCTGTTTCCCACTTTCCTTGCATTCTCCTCAGACTCCACACGATGCCAAATGCCACCACCCCTCCTGCTTCGTAGAGTGTGGTTGTAATGGAAGAAAAATACATCAGACCAGCAAAAGCGGATGCAAGCGATGACGTGCTTAGTGTTTGGAATACGAGCTTTTGAGCCAGTGCTTGAAGCGCTGGGATAGTTTCTTGCGACAGATATGCTCGCGTTACTGGTATATGGAGAGGCCAGGGTCGTGGCTTGATCCCCGCATGAATCACATCTTGTGGTGATTCGACCAAATCCCGGAGCTTAGGAGGTTGTGGTTCTGAGCCGACCGTAGCTACTACAAGCTTTTCCTCGACAGGTTTGTAGGCCCAGTTCTTTGGAGATGTCTCATGGTCTTTTGATACGCCGGCTTGTGCTATGCAGCCTGCAAGATAGATGATTTCCTTCTCGGCGCTGGTGAGAAATCGCTGGTTCAAAATGTCGGAGGCAATCATTGAGACATCGTCGACTCTCCAGAAGAGCTTCCACCATCCCAATTTCCGCCACCTTTGGCCATTGAAGGCAATATCGAGCTCGTCTCTCAGCTCAGTATGTGCAATTTCAGCCCACCCAGATAAGCCTTTTCTCAAAGCTAGAAGATCTGAAGATGGTACACTGTTTGCTATAGCTAAGCCCAGCTGCTTACTATGTTCTGCCCCAATTGCCGCACTGGCGTTGCTGAGTAGTGATTCCACAAGCTTGCGTACCGGAGCTTTCATTTCACCATCTGTAGAAGCAGTTCCTAATTTGATCCACTCCAAGATTTCTGGCACTGCGCTCTGGAACCAGCTTTTCTCGTAAATCAAGGCATTGTCAACACTTTCTCGAAACGATTGGATGGCTTCAGCTGCCATTGAAGTATCGATAACTTGAAAAGGGAGGGCTTCTCCATCATCAATGCGCAGATCAACCGCCGTGCCAATAACATCTGTATCTGTATCGATCGGGTAGTTCATGAGTGTCGCGGCTCCAAGAACACCTTGCGACACGATCAACGACTTATGAACCGGAGTTGTCACAGGTGTATATCTCCCAGTATTCGATGTCGGTATATCCATAGTAGGAACCAGAACTGCCTCCGCGAATTCGCCCTCCCCACTGCCTGACGTTGGAGGGTCCATCTCCAACACCAGAATCTCCAGCTTATGACCATTCAACGTCGGCGACGAGACATGAATTTCCTCCACCAGTCTGTTGCCCTGTAACGTCTCTTCAGAGCCATTCTGCCCGACCTTCAAGAAGATTGGCCTCCCACCCTCTTGATGTCCAAGTAACGTCCTCTCCCATTTCTCCTCCGTCTTCAATGGATCGGCTAGTAGCAGTCGCAGTAGTTCTTTGGCTTTCTTTAGAGAAGCACCACCATCTGCAGTACCAAGAATTGCTATCCTGATCGTTTCGTCCCCAGCTTCTTGTTCCAGACCTCGAAGAGCAAGTTGAAGTCTTGAAATGTTGACGTAGCTTGCGGCATGTTTTTGGATATCCAGGAGGGCATCTCGCAGTTCGATCCGAGGAGGCCTAGATAGAGGAACAGTAGACGAATCAATTGCAGTTGCGCTGGACAGATGGGATTGCAAACGTGCTTGGACTCGAGGTTGCCGAAGCTGGGTTGCAGTAGGTCGTCGTACAGGGCTGCGCAAAGTTCCGGAGATCGAGCATATTGGACATATTTGTTTGGTGTTGGGAGGAATTGAAAGCCGAATTGATCTCGACTGCCCAATTGCAACCCGGGGTATTCGTGGAGGCATGGTGATGCTCGAGGGAGAAAGTGTGTCCTGGTTTGGAGCTTGCTTGAGGTCGGCAGTTAAGCCTGAGATCTCAGGCACGATCATCAGTCTGGAGGTACATTTGTGTTGGACAATTATATTGCAATATCATGTTCTCGGTATTTGAGTCTCATTAAAATTATATAATCAGGTAAATGCTACTTCTGTATTGTCATACCTCCAAAAGCTCTATCCAATTCATCCCCTTCTCCATTCGTTGCCACAACAGGAGCATTTTGTAGACCTGATGCCTCAGCACTTGATACATCAACATCCATCAAATTACTCTGTGACTGCCCGGCTTCTGGTTTCCTCTCCGGCTCTAATATCCTTGCTTCACTGTCTAGCCAGCCTGGAGCAACTCTCCTCTTTTCTGCAAGATCTCTCGCCGCAATAAACTCATCCCATGCCTTCAACTCCTTGTCTGCGTCATCTTGGACTTTCTGTATGTAGGCTTGCAGCGCTTTACATGATGCAATGATATCGTCCGGGTGTGCAGCGTGTCCCGAGGAAGAGACGACGTACGGGGTCTTCTCTTCGCCTGATGAAGGCGCTCCAGTTGAAGGCTGTGGTAATGAGGAGGGCAGTGTTTTGTAGGTGTATGGAAGTGTAGTTGCTGTAGGAAGAGAGACAAATGGAGATACAGTCAAGGGCACTTGGGCCAGCAGTGGATGAGTACCTGTGGGGTGTTAGACTTGATATACGATACTTGATGTGGGGAATAGAGAGGAATGAACAGGAGGGGTAACATAGGTAGTTAACGTACGATTGTCATGCATGCTGGGCTTCAATACCCTCTTGATTCGATATCAAAAGTACGGGAACCAGATCCTGGATGATTCTCACAAACCTCAAGCCTTCGACACTATCCTACAGTCCTGAGATAGAGGGTCCGCCGTCTGACGCAGCTATGATGCAGCCCTATCGCCGAGTGCCTATTCGGTGGCTAGCCCAGCACAGCCCTATCGGATAAACTTGGGCATTCGTGTCTTAATCTCGACACGGAGCCAAGCAGCTTTTGGGTGCTGCTGATAGCTTGTCAGAAATTAGTGGTTGGCTGAAAGCTGTGAATATCTGGAGATGCGGGCAGGCGTCTCTGTCTTGTCTCTGTCTCTGGCTGTTCTGAGTTGTGAGTTGTCACTCGACTTCCCTTCCCAGCCAAAGTCGAGGCTGCGCTGCTCCAGCCAGCCCTCTTGCGCTAGCGGCCACTAGCGGAAGTCAAAATCAACACCTCACCTCACCTCCTGGGTGCTCCCTTCTCACTTCCCCAGCTGTGGCTCGCCGCTTTGTTTGAGCCTCAGTCGAGTCCGAAGTCCAGCTCCAGCCATCCCGCCCGTCAACTTCTCCCCGACATCCCCTCCTCGTCCAAACATCGCAGCTCAGCCCTGCGCCCCACCACCAAAACAACACTATCGCAGACTCAACTAACAACAGCCTCAAGTAGCTACGTCGAGGACTACTGGGTACGGCGATAACGACGCATTTTCACGACCTAATCCAGCCCCTTTTGCGCTGACCAAGTGGACCTCGCAGTGTGCGTGTGCCTTACGACATTTGCCTTCCTCGACCCCCAAAAAAAGATCATTGCCTCCTGAATACTCGATACCAACATACTGCCAGCTGGTTCTGAGGCTCGAAATATAATATCAACACCCACCACCTCCCTAACCTTCACATCGCCTCCTCCATCATGGACGAGGAACAAAGAGATCAGCTCCCTCCCGGGCTCGATCCTGCCCACCTCGACAATGCGGTGAGGGCAATCCAAACGAAGAAGCCGATTCCTACCATCGACTTCACTCTGCACACCATGGAGGATGGCCAACAGGTCAGCACATTGGAGAGAGTCTGCAAAGGTACTGCATCCCCAGCTACCCCGCGATCAAAGCAAACTACATCACCGGATTTCTAACAGCTGTAATGTCAGACGTCCAAGCTCCTGCAATGCACCCTCCCACCAACGAGCAGTTCTTTTCCCCACAAGATCCAACAAAGCCCAACTTAGCGTTTCTCAAGCAACATTTTTACCGCGAAGGGCGTCTGACTGAGGAGCAAGCGCTGTATATTCTCGAAGAGGGTGGTAAGGTTTTGAAGCAGGAGCCCAACCTTTTGGAGATGGATGCACCGATTACTGTCTGCGGAGATGTTCATGGTCAATACTACGACTTGATGAAGCTCTTTGAAGTTGGTGGAGACCCAGCAGAGACAAGATACCTCTTCCTCGGAGACTATGTCGATCGAGGATACTTCAGTATCGAATGTGTGCTCTATCTCTGGTCCTTGAAGATCTGGTATCCAAACACCCTGTGGCTCCTGCGCGGAAACCACGAGTGCAGGCATTTGACTGACTACTTTACCTTCAAGCTTGAGTGCAAGCACAAGTACTCTGAGAAGATCTACGAGGCTTGCATGGACTCTTTCTGTGCTCTACCACTTGCTGCTGTCATGAACAAGCAGTTCTTGTGCATTCACGGCGGATTGAGCCCGGAATTGCACACGCTGGATGACCTCAAGTCGGTACGTGCCCTGTAGGTGTATGCATGGCCAAGACTAACCCGCTTAGATTGACCGTTTCCGCGAGCCTCCTACACATGGATTGATGTGCGATATCCTTTGGGCAGATCCACTCGAGGAATTTGGCCAGGAGAAGACGTCCGAATACTTCATACACAATCACGTGCGAGGTTGCTCATACTTCTTCTCCTACCCTGCTGCATGCAATTTCCTTGAGAAGAACAATTTGCTTTCGGTTATCCGGGCTCACGAAGCTCAAGATGCTGGATATCGTATGTACAGAAAGACAAGAACTACTGGATTCCCCAGTGTGATGACCATCTTCTCCGCACCGAACTACCTGGACGTCTACAACAATAAGGCTGCCGTTCTGAAGTACGAAAACAATGTCATGAACATCAGACAGTTCAACTGCACTCCTCACCCGTACTGGCTACCAAACTTCATGGATGTGTTCACATGGTCGCTACCTTTCGTAGGAGAGAAGATCACCGACATGCTGATTGCAATTCTAAGCACTTGCTCGGAGGACGAGCTCAAAGAAGACGCTACACCTTCCACTGTATCTCCAGGACCAGTGTCTCCACCGATCAATGCCAATTTGGACCCAGACTCGATCGAATACAAGAGACGAGCTATCAAGAACAAGATTCTTGCTATTGGACGTCTGTCCCGAGTCTTCCAGGTCTTGAGAGAGGAGTCAGAGAGAGTCACAGAGCTGAAGACAGCATCTGGAGGCAGGCTTCCAGCTGGAACATTGATGCTTGGTGCTGAGGGTATCAAGAATGCCATCAGCAGTTTCGAGGACGCGCGCAAGGTTGATCTGCAGAACGAGAGGCTGCCACCCAGCCACGAGGAGGTCGCGAGACAGAGTGAGGAAGGGCGGGCGCAGGCTTTGGAGCGCGCCAAGGATGCGGCGGATAATGACAAGGGACTGCAGGCACTGTCTAGACGTCTCAGCACGTAAGCGACCCGGCGTCATCATCAAACTTTGAGATGAAAGCTGACGAAACTAGTGACCGAAAACGATCGTCGTAGGGGGGAATTCTGACTGATGGAATGATGTTGATGTTGATGTTGATTGCAGGGCACAGCGATAGATATTGATGATTGCGAGGAAAGGGAGATAGTTGGCAACAAATAAAATACTAGCGGCCAATTTCATTTGAAACTCGGCATGTTGTTGATGATGGTTCAAAAATGCGTTTTCATTCGAAGGCTAACCAGTAACTTCTTTCTCGCTGAGCTGCAGTTCAGCCATTCCATTCCGTATCTATATGGTTCTAGGCACCATCTCTACTAGATGAACCCCACCCTTCTTTCAATTTCCTATTTGCGCCACCTTTATCCCCCGAAAGACATGTAAAAAAGAAGGAAAAAAAGAGAAAAAAGTTTTGAATATGAACAGAAGAATCCGAATCGGTCGTATCAAAAGAAAATAGCTATAAAGTCACACCAAGAGTAGATCCAAATCACTCTTTCAGCTCGTACTGATCTCCAAACAAGCCGCTGTCGTTCCTCGGCGACCTAGCCGTCTTCTTCACCGTTGCTTCCTCCACCACAGCAGTGAGGGTGCTACTGCTAGATTGACGAGGGTTTGGCAGAGGGTCGCTAAAAGGACCTTGATCGATTGCTGGAGTGTCATCGATGATGGTGATGGCATTTGAGTCACGAGCCACAGGGCTAGCGCGTGGTGTCATCTCATCATCAGAGATAGAAGGGGCTGGCGTTCCCTTTTTCTGTGTGCTCACCACCTTGACGACTTGAGGCTTGACTTGTGTAGCTGTGTTTGCGTTGTTCAAGAATGTAGAGCCAACGCTAAAAGCAGGACTAGGCGGTCCTCCGGGACCGAATCTGCTGTAGTCGACTGAGGGTACGGGTGGTGTCATTTCTCCGGATGATTGACCATTTGACTTGACACTGACCACAGCAGCCTTGCCTCTGATCATGGTTTGAGCAGGTATTGGTGACACTATAGCGTTCTTGCCATAGATGGTTGACGTAACACTAGTTCTGGCATAGGACGTCCTGTCACTCAGTGCCGAGTAAGTAGAGTCTCTGAGGTCGCCAGGCATAAAGAAGTGCTCTTGTTCATATCGTGGAGTGCCAGCATCAGACAAGGCAATTGGAATCGGAGGAACCGGTGGAACCAGCAGGCCAGGAGTTGACGGAGCAGAACGATTCGTTACGCCAGGAATGTAGGCGATCTGGATAATGTTGGACGCTCGAGTGAGAACAGTAGAAGCTATAGAAGCAACCGTATGTGTCGAAGCCCTCGCATCTCGTCTCATGGTAAAATCCTTCTCTGCCTCCATCGCCTCATCCGGATCCTCTGCCCAATTCTCTTGTTCGTATTGCTGCCTCTTCGTCTTGATACAGAATCTCCATACTAAATAGGTCACAATTGCGATGACCGCGACTCCACCGATGATACCGCCTGCAATTGCTCCGACGTTAGGTCCTGAACCCGACGACTTGGGTGCTGTAGAGATTGTAGAAGGAGCTGCCGATGAAGCGACACAAACGGTCTTTTGGCACTCATTACAAGTCGGTGGAACGAGGGAGCAGATTTGACCGCTTGGGCATGTTTCTGGACAGCTGGGCGTGGCGTCTCCACACTCTACACATCGTCGAAAGAGGGAGGAGAATGAGGCTTTATTAAAGTTAGTTGGGGTTATTTGTTGGGATGTTGATATACATACTTGACCCGTAAGCTGCCATGTTGAACTGTGATGTCGATTATGGCCTGATTGGTCGTAGATTATAGATGAACAAATCTTCGTGAGGATCGGGGAGGGTATAATTGGCGTCGTGACAGAGGTCGTGATTGAAGGAAAGGGCTCTCTCTCAAAGGGTTCCCGGATGTCCGTACTGCAGGATGTGGCGGAAGATCAGAAGGTATGTATCAAATAAAACAATTCGTATCGCTGATACAGATTCGAGAGATGAAGAAAGGATTGTTCAGAGAGCTGCGAGATCCCGTTGGGTGGTCGAGAGGTTGACTCGGGGGCTGCGGTCGCAAGAGCTGACGAACGATAACGAGTGTAAGAGAGAACAAGCTCTGTGTTTGAAGTTGACGACGGCACACCTACATCGGCATCAATGTCAAAGTCAAGGCGCACATGAGCAGCAGCGACAGCGTGATGCCTTGGAGATGCCTTGGAGGTACGGTGCGGTGCGATGCGGCGATGAGGTGTCGTTGAGCGGCGGCGTCGATCGGTCGGATGGGATGGGATGGCTGGATGGGATGGAGGAAGATCAAGAGGGAACGAGAGTCAAGATGGGGCAGAGACAGGCACGGGGCACGGGGCACGGGGCACGGGGCACGGGGCACGGGGCACAGGGCACAGGCACGGCCGGGCAATAAGGTACCTAACCTTGAACGGAATGGGACCTGGACCAATGGGCTGGCAGAAACGCGGTCAGAACTAGGTACGGTGCCCCACCTATTTTATTTCAGGGGCACAGCCCCGACCACTCGTTTTACCTGCTCAACACTATCTCCAAGCCAGAATACTCAGTGTCCGCAGTCTAACAGTCAAATCTATATCAATTCTCGATAAATGGATACTACTATACAACGACAAAAGCTGGGAGAGCGGAACACACAAATAAAGTAAGAAGATCCGATTGTAAGAAGTGCTATTACTCGCATACGTAAAGTCGCATTCAAGAGTAGTAGACTGTCTTACATAGCAGCGAAAGCTAGTTAAAAAGGACAATAAGCTGGAGTTACACACTATTACTCGCATAATAAACAGGTTCACGTTTCACTTTCGCAATAGGAAGAAGACATTCCAAGCGGATATACAACAGCGAAAGAAGAGCAGGGAGAATTGGACGCTATCGGTACGAGACTCTCAAACTTAAAAGTCCAGTTGAGGACAACTACTAGAATATCTGTTGATTACATAAAGGTGAGAGGGATTTAGTAAAGTCATAATCAAAAGGGCATCAGACTCTATTCGAGGTACTTGCCTAGACTATAGGGGATAACTTACTACTTTTTACCCATGCCTTATTCTAGCTCGTAAGCACTGGTTGCCCACTGTTCATTGTCCTAGCAACCCAATTTCGTCTCTCCTACCTCATTGTTTTTTCACATCCACAAGCTTTGCAACGCTCGATCCGTCACTCAAGAGCTTTACTTCATCCTTGGCCATACACGCGTGGATACGCCCCTTTTAAGTAACAGCACGAACTTCAGATACACAAGTCTAGCATAGAACCAAGAGTAGAGACTGATACCCTTTTAAGTCCGACATTACCGGATTTCTCTTACTTATACTAAGGTTACCCTTCAAGGAAGGGGTAGGAGCAATTAAGAGGACAGGTAATTCTGGCTCGGGTGATGGACCCCTCTCAGGCGCGGACCAGCAGGTATATCTCCTCAAATGCAATTCGCCGCGCAGCCTAAAGACCCCTATGGCAGTCACTACAGCCTATCACTGAATATGTGAGGCTCGCCAGAACTCAGTATGTCTGGAGCACTAGATCACCTGTATTTCTCGCTGATCGGCGCTTCGCTTTAGGTAGCATAGAAATTAGCAACATACCGAAGACCAAGACACGATCGAATACTGATTCCGTGGCGTGCCTCTTCAAGTAGGGGTAATAGAATGCTTATAATCCAGCACCTTTCCAAGGCGCAGTCAAAGCAAAGCAATGGTCAAATTTTTGTGGCCCTACTATGTCTCAAGGATTTTTCGCCTTCCACTCGTCATGCATTTTCTTCTGCCTGTCCCACTCCTTCTTCAGCTTCTTCAACGCACTCTTCGGCACATCCTCACCCTCCTTCGTCTTGGTCGGCATCCCATCCGCATCCCAAGCACTGAACCGCTCATCCCGAAACATATCCGCTGGACTGAGTTTCGCCTTCTCTGCTTTCTCAAGTTCGGCCTTCTCGCGATCTAAGCGAGCCTTCTCCTTCTGAGCCAGCTTCTCTCGTTCTTTAGCGGCTTTCTCCTCTTTCTGCGCGAGGAGCTCTTCTTTGGGGATGAACTTGATCAAGGCGCTCTGGCCGTCACTTCTGTCGTCCAGGTACACACCTAGATTAGTGAGATCGTTGTCTCGGATCTGGTCGGAGAGAACAAGAATCTCCTTCTTCGACTGCGAGGTTGGCGCAATCCTTCTCAGCTCATCGCGTACCTTTGCCACAGCACGAAGATATGGCATAGCAAGGGCTTCAGGATCCTTGGTACCAGCAGATTCAAGAGCAGAGAATTCCAAGTCTACATTAGCAGCCAGAATTCGGTCAAGAACCTCTGAATTTAAAGATAGGCTCTGCAACTCTGCTTTGACGGAGTCGTATACTTTGGCGTATGGAGCAACGACTTCCTTGGGAGTCAAGTTTGAGCTTGAGACATTGACCCATCCGAGTCCCTCGTAAGGCGGCGAGGCATTCGAATCTAGACCAAAGATGCCAACCATCTTCGTCACCCAGCGAGCAGCATCCTCCAGCCCCTTGATGTCGAGATCCGATTTGTGCGTTCCGATGTGAATGTTGGCCTCCTTGATCAACTCGGAGATGACGCGCATTGCACGAGGGGTGTCGAATGAGTCTGTGAGTGCAGACCTCATTTCGGCTTGTGCCTTCTCAACAGTTGGCACAAATCCTTCACCAGTGCCATTCAGAGAAAGAGACTTTAATGCATCCGCTGGGCTACCAGCCTCGGCGATCAATGACTTCACAGTGATGAAGAAGTTCTTGAAAGTCAGCATTACTCAAGGCTTACGCCGGTGAACTTACATTGACAGTGCTCTCCCAGACCTCGGCCATTGTCCTCATATCCGCAGAAATCTCAACACCATCATTCCATCTCCCCATCAAGAAAACGACTCTCATCCCTCTAGGCGTGTAGTCCTTCAGCGCATCTCTGATGGTCTGGAAGTTCTTTAAGGACTTCGACATTTTGGATCCCGATATCGACAGATGACCCATATGCATGAAGTATCTGACCCAATTATGAGGGCCATGCTCGCTGCAGAAGTAAGCTTCACTCTGGGCAAGCTCGTTATCGTGATGTGGGAAAGCCAAGTCAATTCCTCCCGAGTGAATGTCCATCTCTGATCCAAGAATATCCGAGGCCATGACAGAGCACTCAATATGCCAGCCGGGTCTTCCCTCTCCCCAAGGACTTGGCCAAACAGGCTCACCAGCCTTCGACTTCTTCCAAAGAGCGAAATCCCCCGCGCCACGCTTCCCACCAACGTTTTTCGACAGGGAGCCCTCACCCTCTTCTTGCAATGCCTTGTCATTCTTGCTTTCTGGCCGTAATCGTGCGTATGGGTTTCCCGCCTTCTCAAATGCCGCGATATCGAAGTAAACTGACCCTTCGGTCTCGTATGCAAAGCCCTTCTGAATGATCTTCTCCACGAAGTCCGCAATCTGGGGAACGTATGTCGTCACCCGAGTAATGACATCTGGTCGTAGGACGTTCAGAGCATCCATATCCCCCATAAATTGATCCTCCCAGTACTTTGTAACATCCGTGAAAATTGTATGGTCAGTTCCATCAATCGATTCCTTGTACAGCGAGTCCAAGTATGGGAGCAGAACCTCGTCTGCTCCTCCAAACACTTTCTTCTCTTGTATGGCCGTCGCTGCTGCAGTCAAGTTCGCCAGGTGCATTTTCATCTTGGCCTCAGCATCTCCAGGTTTCTCTCCAGTCAACGATCCCCCAGCAAGAACCGTGCCGTATGCCGCATCTCTTCTTTCCACGTAGTTGGTCGGACTTAGTTCTCCACCCTTCAATAGCTCTGGTAGGTTTCCTTCCGCATATAATTGGAACGCCGTGACAGCCAATTTGGAGAGGTCGGACTCGGAATATGTCTTCGCTTTCTCAAGCTCCAGCAGCCTTTGTCGCCGCGCCTTCAGGATAATCTGCAGAGGTCAGAGAAATCCACAAAGTGACTTTTCAACAATCAACCTACCTTATCATCCACGTCCGTAATGTTCATAACGAACTTGACACCATAGCCAAAGTAGTCGCGCATTATCCTCCGTATGATGTCCGTCGAGACATAGTTCCTAGCGTGGCCCAAATGCGAATGATCGTAGACAGTTGGTCCGCAGGCATACCAGGACACCTTTCCCTCGTCCTTGGGAATGAAAGGCACTGGCGCTCCAGGCTTGAGGGAGTTGTGGACCTTCAATTGCTCCATCTCCGTAGAAAAAGTGCGGCTGGCGATGCGGGAAGTTCGAAAGACGTGTGGTTTCCGTGCAGAGATGCGGACAAGGTTGGAGAAAAAGAGCATTCAGTCGCTGCGCATATTATGTTCTTCGTAGGCACTTGGACTTTGCCTGTTTCGTCTGACTCGATACGACTGTGTCTCCGGCCTTGTGTGGTACAGGAGGATGTGAAGGCTGAGGAATTTAGGATTGACTCAACGAAGGCGGGGAGGCCACGATTCGCTAGAAAAATGACTTGGCACTTGCGGGATCTCAGCCTCGCCTGAACAGCCGAGCCTTTCTGGTGTCAACAAATATGCCATTCGCTACTATTATTAACAATAATATATCCGAATGACTTTCAAGTGACGAAGATTGTATTTCCGTCACATGATGAAGTTGATTGAAGAATTTCCTTTCGAACTTGTTCCCTTGAACCAGCGGGCATTCCTCTCACAGTAGAATGGCAGCGCACAATAACTTGAAATACACTCAGAGTCTAAACAGTACCGTAGACAGCTTCAATTGGAAAGGAATAAAAACAAAAGGAGGTTTCTAGTTAAGAACGGTTTCTCTCTTGTATCTCCTCTCCAAGTGGACAAAATAAGCATCAAACGCCAAGATTCACCCCACCATTAGCGTCAGGACCCCGCGATTCCGAAAATACTACCATGTTGAGAAATCACGTAGCTCTAGATGCTCGGAGTTACGCAACTAATTGTTTATTTCCAGGTTTCCTCGTCATATGACCGGTCCTTCGCTATGTTAACGCAAGTTTTGCCCAGTCACCAAGTATGGTAATGCCGATTGCCGGCACTGACAGGCAGATGCACGTTGCTGAGCTTGCATATCTAGTTTCGGACATAAAACAAAGTAGATCTAACCGAACACCCAATGGCATGCTGTACCATTGCAAGTAGTTTGGGCAAGTGCTCAAGAAGATTATTTTGCCTGCTACTTAGGCATTTTTCACAGTTAGGAAGCATAGAAACGTCCGAGGAGAAAGAGTTCAGGAACATGGCATCTCACAACTCCAACGAAAGCTTTCGACGAGAAGCAGTCGGGTATCTCTTTCGTACCACTGCTCCATCTTACTGACTCTGCCAATGCCTTCCGGCTAGTACGGAACGGCGGGAAAGCCTCAGACATTGGTGAGGACATTCGCTAGTCGTAGCTTGCTGAAGATGCAGCATACATAGATCTTTGAGAACTGGTTTACGGGGCGGTTGACTGAGATCGTTTCGTTATTGTGTTCCATGTCGTCAATTTTGGATGGCAATGGTCTATAAGCCGAACGCTAAGTCGGCTTACTGTACAGTACTCTGAATGTATGTGGCGGCATGATGACACGGATTTGACGGAAAGAACAGTCGAATTGAAGCCTGCGAGATATTGGACCGGACATGGATAGTCGCATGTCTGGAATATAAGAAACTATCCTGTCCCGCCTGAATACCGTAGTCTCTTGTGCAAACAGGGAGCGCCTGCACGCAGGAAAACAGCAAAGCCCCCGCAGAAGCCTTTCAAACACTCTCAACTGAACATTAAATCATTCAACCATTCCACTAGTCGAACTTTATCAGAGGTAGAACATCGTGAAAATGGCCTACGGTTGGGGTATGAACTCTTTTGCCTTGCATGATGTATCACACAACCTAACCGACAACAGATGATTCAGAACGATCATATCAGGACTCGCGAGATAACACTGGAGAGCCACACCACAAAGCAAAACTCGGTCACGAAGCACTAGCTGGAGCAGCTTCTTTTGGTGCTTTCAAATTGTTTGAGGACCGACAGAGGAGAGAGGGTGAGTGCGGACCTAGTGATCATCTGCTCAGAAGATACGGGATCTGCCAATCAGTCCTTGTTACTAGAGCTCTGGATCCCAGGAAAAAAGACCAATAATACTGATAGAGAACTAACAGGTAAACCTGTCTCCCACGCTTTCGCCAAGGAGCTTCTGGTCGGCATCGCTGGCGCTGAGATCGACAAACTCATCGAAACAAAAGGCCTGGATTACATAGATCGGCAGAAAGCAAAAAGACATGCGCGGGAAAATGTAGAAAACATGTATGATCAACACTATGTGCGAGGACATGGTGCTGATCAGTACGACCCGTGGGTTGCTCCCGTGACAGTTGAAAGACTCGCGCTAATAGACCAGAAATCAATATGCGCCTCCTGAGCACTTGGAACGGCATAGACACCATCATCATGAACGCGGGGAGTGTGCTGAAGACTACTAAGCATGAGAAGTAGTGTTTTGCCCTCAGAATGGTTGAATCGCGAATTTGCATGTCCAACCGTGGTGCAAAGGGGAGGGTTAAGTGCTGTACAATAAATACGGAGTTGTATTCCAAATGAAACACGAAAGGCAATTTAATGTCCGACAGCGGACTGCTTAAAGTTTGCTATCTCAGTTGTCATTGCAAGACGTCTAGACTGTAAAGTGTCAGACGCTGGTAGCGACATGAAGCGTTGTGTTTTGTGTCTTTATATTGCTCCCACTGAGTTGGGGTTGATCTCACAGAAACTTCATCCAGAGCATGCAATGTCAAAAGCGACTCATATAACTTTGGTAATGGGAAGAGAAAGATTTGGGGTCAAGGCTTCGATATCAGTGGTTGCGGCTATTTCAAAGGAGGAAGGAAACGAAAGTCGGCGTTTGTAGGGGATGTTTGCCAGTATCGACGCCAAGCCAATCCAGGATAACTGACCACCCAACATCCGACACCCCAGAATCAGCCTCTCTTCGTTCGTTTCACAACCACAACCACAAGAACAACTTTCCCCTAACTTTGAGCTACTTTAGATATCCTCCACATCCCCCCAATCGAACCCCTCCCCAATACTCGAGCTTCACGATGGTTCGGAACGGCCCAAACTCCCTTCGTGGAAGTGTATCGACATTGTCCCTCCGAGCAAGAGTGGAGGACGACATCGAGCGAGAACATCGTGAACGCATCGCAGAGCTACAGTTTCAACTGGCAGAGTCAGAGCAAAAGATGGCAGATGCAGAAAAAAAGATTGCCGCGAGCCAGGCAGTTACGAACGGCATTCTATCCAACCTGCACGGCACAACAGTCGGAGACGCGCTTGGCCGTGCTGAAACTGGGGAGGAAGCCATGTTACGGTACCAGCGGTCTGCGGAGGAAAGAATACGCCGCCTGCACCAGGCGACTGGTGGTCGAATCACATTAGAAGACACATTTCATTATGATCCGACGTTCAAGAGCTTATTCGAAAAGTTCAATGAGAGCAGGCAGGCTGTCCGACAGAGCCTCATCTCCAACGGACTGATGTTGGGAGGAAGCACACTCAAGAGTCCAGAAGCATACTGCCAGCCTTTTTGCGACTTCTTGACCGAGAATCCAACGGTGTTCCATGCGGTTGACTATTTCGGCACCAAGTTAGAGAAAGCTGGATTCAGGAAGGTACGGATACATTTCAGCATCTAGTACTGTACTAACCCCACTAGCTATCGGAACGCAAAGCCTGGACAGATGAGCTCAAGCTTGGTGGAAAATATTATGTTACAAGAAATGGAAGCTCTCTTATCGCTTTTACGGTTGGTGGTGGGTATGCCAGTGGGAATGGTGTTGCAATGGTTGCAGGACACGTCGATGCGTTGACGGCTCGCCTAAAGCCTGTCAGCAACAAGAAGACATCGGCTGGTTATGTCCAACTCGGTGTTGCGCCTTACGCTGGTGCTCTTAACACAACTTGGTGGGATCGTGATCTTGGTATCGGCGGAAGAGTTCTTGTCAAGGATGCAGATACTGGAAAGATTACTACAAAGTTGGTGAAGTTGGGCTGGCCCAGTAAGTCAGTCGCCTCGAAGATATGTCAGAACTGACTGTCGCAGTTGCCAAAATCCCAACTCTGGCTCCACACTTTGGTGTCGGTATGCTTGGAACGAACAATGCAGAGACGGAAGCCGTTCCCATTATCGGACTTGATGACTCGAGTGCTTCATCAACCGAAGATTTCCAGAATCAGACCCTTGGTGGCGTTGGGAGCTTTGCCGCCACGCAGCCACCGAAGCTCGTCAGAGCTATTGCTGGAGAACTCAGCATTCAAGACTACTCTTCAATCGTCAATTGGGAGCTTGAGCTTTATGACATTCAGCCTGCACAGTGTGGTGGACTGGAGAAGGAATTTATATTTGGAGGACGTATCGATGATAAGATTTGTTCCTGGGCAGCTATCGAGGGTCTCCTTGCAGCAGAACCAACCTCTGAAAGTGATGGCTTGATCAAATTGGTTGGCGTCTTCGATGACGAAGAGATTGGATCGCAGCTTCGCCAAGGTGCAAAGAGTAACTTCCTGCCTGGCACTGTTGAGCGCATCACGGAAGCATTCTCCAAGTCCGGATCCAGCGCCAACGTCCTCTCCCAAACTTACGCCAACTCTTTCCTCATCTCGGCAGATGTCACTCATGCAGTGAACCCTAACTTCTTGGGTCGTTACCTCGAAAACCATGCACCAAGATTGAACGTTGGAATGGCCATCGCCGCGGATTCGAATGGACACATGACTACGGACTCTGTCTCAACTGCTCTCCTTACTCGTGTAGCCGAGAAGAGTGGCAACAAGCTCCAAATCTTCCAAATCCGCAATGATTCCAGAAGCGGAGGAACTGTTGGTCCAATGCTTAGCTCTGCGATGGGTGTTCGAGCTATCGATGCCGGTATCGCTCAGCTGAGCATGCATAGCATTCGTGCGACCGTTGGATCATCAGACCCTGGTCTGGGAGTCAAATTGTTCAAGGGTTATTTCGATCACTTTGAGAGCGTTGACGCAGAATTTGAATAGACTGATAAATGGGAACTTTAGCGAGGCGCGGGTGTTTGTACTCTAGGTAGAAGGTAGACTCTCTACGGCTTGAGAAATTCCTGCTAGACACAAAACCAACCGGATTCAAGAGACCCATCTCTGTTCTACGAAAACCTGTGGAGTTATCTTTAATTCTTGTGTAGCCACTAATCCTCTTCCTATTGGACATCATACGACGACAACGTATTTTTATAGAATCGGTTTTACATCCCCGACATTCTCTGGATCTCAAACATTGGCAACACCTTGAGGTCGCCTATTTCGTCGTGTTTCCATTCAATTGTTCTAGAACGGTTCTGTAGCTGATCGTTACTCAACAGCCACACGTGCAGCTGATATTTATTTTTGATTCCACTCACAGGGCTGATATCAAACGTGCTGACCGTCCACCCTAAACCCCGAACTTTAGCGCACATGTATCGTGATACAGACACGATATAAATTCAAGTTAGGCCACCCAGATGGTATAGAAGTAGTCGATATCGCCCCTAAGAAATTAGAACGTTCGATTTCAAAGTTTAATATTCGTCCGTCTGTCCATTTGGTCATTTTCTACATTGCTTTGCATCTTCGAGTTGAAAGCATCCGACAATGGTCCAAGAAGTAAGTAGCATCACGTGCAATGTTTCACAGCTCTAGACTCACATGGGGTCCCGTTATCCCACTGGAATTTCATCCGAACCACACCGCCGCAACTCCACTTCCGCATCACGAGTCAGAATTCCGTTCAACGTCCACCTGGACGTGTCACAACACCACAGCCTATTCGATCGACAACTACGACCGAGCCCAGGGCGACGTCCACGTCCACCCTTTCCTTCCAGGGACCCAGGTCAGATTCATCAACATGGACGTCGCCGCCGCTGGGCCCGGCGCTGGGATGCAGCAAGATCCTGCGAAGACTCTTGCAAAGGGCAGCACCAGCACTAAGCGGTTTTCAAAAGGCGAAGCGGCGAAGCCCAAACCCCTTTCCAATCTCACAGGCTCGCGGTTTCAATGCCCCAAGTGTCCCAAAACTTTCAGCCGCATTGAGAACCTAACCCGCCATCAAGCAAATCGTAAGTTATATCACCCAATATAAACACGGTGCAACAAAAAGTGAAATAGCAAGCAATGCCGACACTGTATAGATGACGATGTGGGCAAGTTCCCCTGCGTCGTATGCAACAAGCGCTTCACTCGAAGCGACCTCCTCAATCGCCATCGACGTATCCATGGACCGCAACAGGAGTCCAACCCCCACGTGACGAACGAATATGTTTCAGCTTCTCCGGATCAAAGAGCCTACGGTGATCTGGCTCTTCGAGATGATCGTAGCTCAGCTTCTAGAGATGGATCAAGCTCAATCGCAACCTCTTCTCCTGCTGGGGGATACCAGCCGATCCCTCCACCGTATCAACAACCTGTGCAGCCCGTCTACCAACATCCGTTGCAGCCGGGCCCGGACCCGAATATTCTGCAGCACCAAGTGAGGACTCAGGGCTTGACAAGTTTGATGGAGGCTGCTTTAGCACCACAAGAGAACTTTGCCTTTACACCTGTCGAGAACATCAACCCCTCACTGTGGGATGGATTCATGCGGTTCGGTGAGAACACGAATATGTACATGGGCTCGTATGATGCGGATATGTCCTGGACTCTGGACTATCTGCCATCAGAACACTCCCCCAACTATCTCTTGGACCAGGACATGTTAAGTGCATTTGACGACTTTAACGACACATCATATCAGTATCAACAGATGCAGTATGAACAGCCGCCTGCTGTCAACGACACCGAAGACGCGGAAGGCGAGGATGAGGATACTACGGATTGGCCGGACAAAGTCGAGAAACCTGTAGCTCCTACGAGATATGCCCCTCGAGTCATTCCAATCCATCTTCGACAGATTTCATGGCAGTCCGTTGTTGACGAGGCCAGATCAAGTGGATACTCCGCGGTGACAATACGGCCCATGCACAACATCACCAGTCAGCTTCGGGACCTTCTGCTCAACACTCTGAATGGAGATAATATCAGGAATGAATTCTCTCGGCCTGAGATCAGTGAAGCACTCTTCCCACCTGCGGAGGCGCTTGATTACTTCCTTCGTCTCTATGTCCGGTTCATTCAGCCTAGATATCCGGTTCTCCATTTACCAACTTTTGACATTTACAACTCACCTCCTCTAATGTTAATCGCTATGATGTTTCTTGGGTCGAGTCATTCTACTGTAGATCGCGGCCGGTTTTCACGGCTTTTCCACGAACATCTCCGGATAGCATGTATGAGGAAACAAGAACTTGAGAAAAAATGGGTATGTAACATTTTTTCCATCAGGCAGAGAAAATCGTACTGACGCTCGCAGTTACGGAGTATCGACAATATTCTCACTTACTTTCTCCTCTGCTTGGCTGGTACCTGGAGTGGAAGTAAACACTCCTACGAGTTCGCCGAAGGTGGGCGTGGTATCCTCGTGACCGCATGTAGAAGGGCTCGTCTCCTAGATTGCCGTCCTGTATCACGGGTTGAAACCGAACCATATCAGCGTCCTGGTAGGACTCACCTAGAAGCTGTATGGTTAGCATGGATCGAAACAGAGAGGAGGAAGCGATTGGGTCTGTCAATTTATGTAAGTACCAAGTTGATTTCCTAGTGCCTAGCTAACGTCACAGATCTTCGACTGCCAATACCCAGCACTCTTCAACAACCAACCCTATGTCAGCAAAGCCGAAACCACAAACTGTGTCTTTCCCTGCTCCGAGAATCTCTGGGAAGCGCACAACGCAGAAACCTGGAAAATGCTGGTCGGGCCACCAGACATGCCTCCACCAACGTGAGTTTCCAACCTTTCCTCCACCGCCCACTAACAAAATTTCAGATACTACCTCCACGCACTAAACTGCTGCCTCCTCCGCAAATGGATCAAGCCCTCCCCACCCATCGTCAAAGCCGGCGAATTCGGCAAAATCGTCCTCATGTACGCCCTTCACACGCACATCTTCGAATGGCGGCAATCAACCTCGATGCTCAACCCGACAGGCCTAATGGGCACATTCGGCAACTCCGCGCACGACATGGGCGAAGGGCTGCGCGATCGCCGCAAGTGGCTCGTCGACGGGCTCGACAGTTTCGCAGAGTGCTACAAGACGCCCGGCACGAGCATGGCCGCCCAGCTACTCCACTGCCTCGGCTACGTGTCTTTGGACGTCAGCCTCTCGGATATGCACCTCGTTGCCGGGCGCTCGGTTAACCAGAACGATGGGAATTTCGCCGAGGAGAACCTCAAGTATTGGGCGAATAGCGAGATTGCGGAGAAGACCATGGGCCATGTGTATAACATGCTTGCGCTGTGCCATCACTGCATCAACAATGGGATCGCGGCCGATAGCTCGTACGAGGTTGCGGTGTGTCTGTTTACGGGCGGGATGGTGTGTTGGGCGTTTGCGAAGTTGAAGGGGGGGAATGCCTTGACGGAGCAGTATGTCGAGCAGGTGAGGAAGGCGAGTCTCGCTTTGAGGCAGATGGGGTGTTGGAGGATGTGTTCGATGTTTGGGAGGATTTTGCAGGGGTTTGAGAGTCCGAAGGGGTCGTAGATGGGGAATGTCAGTGGTTTCCTCCTATCAGGGACTGGCGAGTTGTTGAGATTGAGTTTTGCTTGCTTGTGTCGCTTAGATCTCGCTTTGGTGTTGACGTTGGGTGTACTAGGTCTGTTCGTGTTTGAACTTAGCGGGAAGGAAAAATGGTTGGCTGGGTATGCTCGATTGGGATGGGATGAATGCCCAAATATCTCTGGTTAACTTACTCCTTGGATCTGGCGTTTCCGGATGGAATTCTGTTTCAAGTTTTTCTGGGATGGGGGTATGGTGTTAGGAATTGCAGAACAGGACATACAGCGTCGGAAAAGTATTGAAGAGACGAATGGAACGACCTGGGATGGGAAGTGAATGATGGATGGTATACCCAAGTACGTACATTTCCAACAGCAGAACTCCTAAAAAAAAAAAAACATCTACAGACCCCTATCCTATCCATCTCTTTCTCTCTACGTATGTATGTATGTCTTTCTTTCAATCTTTCTTTCGTTCACATCAGTCGTCCCTCACCTCATGTCATGATACGATCCCCAGGGCAATCCAATCCCACCAGTTCCTGCAAATGCAAACAACCTCCCATGAACAAGGAAGTAAAGCCTAAAACAAAACGCCAGCAAGTGCTCTCCTCTCCTCTCCTCTTCCTCACTTACTCACCCTTCACGCATTCACGCCTCCCCTCCTCCCCTCCCCTCCCCTCCACTCGCCTGTAAGCGAGTGTTTGCTTCCATCTCAATCTGTTCCCACGCCATCCTTGTGTTCGACACCTTTCCTATCTCCTTCAATGACTTGGTCTCTTTGTTTCTTCAATGCCTGTTAGTTACCAGTTAGTTAATTATATTCTTCATGATTCGCTTCTCAATTTCTCGTTTTCTCGTCCACTCATCTCCTGTCCAACCGCACAGTCCCCCGACTCTCATCTCCCCCTTCGCCCTCACTTTCAACCACACAACCCTCCTTACACACCCTCAGAAAAAAAGCCCGCAAAAAAAGCCAGCAGATGAAAGGGAAAAAGGAAAAAGAGACAAACCTTCAACTCCTCCTCCTTCGGCCCCACAATCAACCCCTTCAAAAACCGATTCTCCTGCTCCAGCTCCCGGATGCGGCTCTCCAGCTTCTCCAGCGCCTGCCTCTTCTCCCGCGCCTGCTGCTCGAGCGTCTGCTCGCGCTGCTTCTTCTTGGCGCGGAACCGCGCGCTGGCCGCCGTGTTGCGCAGCCGCTTGAGGTCGGCTTCCGGGTCGCCGCCTTCGGACGTCGGGTACGATGCCGTTCGGGGGGAGGAGCTGCTGGATGGGGGTCCGCCGCCGCCCCCAGGGTACGCGGTGTAGGTGGTTGGTTGGGTGTGGTGTTGGGTGTAGATGGGGACGAAGCCGGGGTGGTGGTGGTGTGGGTGTGGGTGTGAGTGTGGGTGTGGGTGAGGAGTGTTGGATGAAGAGGCGGTGGTGTAGTAGGGTTGGGTTGGGGTCGTGGCGGCGTGTTGGTGTGGGTGTTGGTGTTGGTAGTAGTCTTGGTGCTGGTCTTGAGCGTCCATGGCTGCTGCTGCGCCTGTTACGAATTGGAGGGGTGTGTGTGGTTGAGGTTGGGGCTGGTGGAGGATTTGACTTGGATGGGTTTGGATTGGTGTTTGAGTACGAGTCTGTGTCTGGGTCTGGGTCTCGGTATCCCAGGGATATATTGGAGAGGAGAGTGGTGAGAGGGCGGCTTCTAGGAGAGCTGTTGGTATGTCAGTTGGAGAGTCTGGGATGTTTCAAACAGTATTCCAACCCAAAGGAAACTCGGTTCAGCAACTACTTTAGTAGATGCAAAAGCAGATGAAGAAGCGGAAGTAGGAGCAGAAGTAGGACTCCAGAAGTTGTGGTAGAGAAGCACAAGCAGGTACAAGTGTAGTAGAGATGCAGACTGAAGTCAACAGAGGACCTAGATGCGGAAGTAGGTTCGGTAGATTGATGCAGATCAAGAGACGGGCAGGAGACAAGCTCAGATCCCAAAACTCAAACTTGAGGCTCTCTACCTAGATCTTGATGTTTAAACTTGCATCAGCTTCAGCTTCAGCTTCAACTTCAAATTTCGTTCGTTCGATAATAATCAACAAGCCAGCAAGCCACGCAGTAGTAGTAACTCCCCTCCCCTCCCTTCCCGGGACCCCTCTATACTTATCTCTCTCTGGCCGTGGCCGTGGCCCGTCCCCTCCCCTCCTGCACTCAGTACCCGTCGCGATACCACCGCCGCAGCTAATGCGCGGCTTCTGCAGCGAAACGCCCCGTCACGTGGTATTTCGTGATTCCATGCGTATATTCGCAATAGATACAAGCCGGGTTCAGCCAATTACAGACCCGCATTACAAGGCTGCGACAACTGGGAGAGTAGGTGCAGCGACTGTGAGGGAAGAGACGGGCAGGACAGCAGGGGAAGTGCCAGTGGAGGTAAGAGATGTGGCCCCGAGTGGGAATTGTTTGGTACTGTGACAAGGGTGCCTGGGAGGTTTCTACTGCATCCCGCTGGTTGATCTTGCGGGTAGCTTGCTAGGCCCTGGCTAGCTACTCCGTATGTGCTGTAAGGGAGTGGAGGAGGGTGGCCAGCTAGGGATAGGGATGGATGGCATGGCCAACTGAACGGAGCCAGCACAACAGAGTTCCTTCGCTGTAGGGAGCACTTACTCATGTAGTGGCAATCCCAGCGAAGAAACGGCATAGCATTGGTCTGGCCAAGTGATGGAAGAGGCTTGAGCTTGACTCGATGCTGAAGCTTGAAGCTTTCCAGCTTTCCCTTGCTCGCTTGAGCCTTCACTTGCCGACGCTGCTTCCCTTCCATCCTTGTGATTGTGACGGGTGCGTCCACCATTCGGATGAACCACCGTTGCACATTTGCAGATTGCAAATTGCAGATGATCTGGACATTTTCATGTGATGCAGGTTTGTCTTCCCCCACATGCTTCATAAGGTATGCGTTGTTGCAACTGCTATATGCTGGCAAGGTGCTGGATAGAAAGTCCGAATGCCATGCAATGCAAGGTCCGTCTTGCATCTAGCTCGCTAGAGCTGTCATCTGCTTCTTTCGAGATCTCTCTAAAACATAGATACGAAATAAACAAACTCCAGATCATGCAGAAATCCGACGCAAGTACTTCAGGAGTGAAGAAAAATTTCCAACCTCGATCACTAAATCGAGTAGAAGGCCTGCAATTATAACCACAGTTTCTCGTAATATCCCATCTTGTATTCACAGTCTCCTCCAAAGCATCCAAAAACTGCAAAAACTCCAATCCAAGAACAAACCAGATACACAATCAAAGAAAACACAAACACAAACATAAACATAAGCATACCTCTATCCAAACCAGGCACAGACCCCGACCTCGACGCATTCGCGCCCTGAACCCCCTTCCTCCAAACATCCAATTCACTCTCCCTTCCCTGACCACCCCTCTGTCCAAGTACATGTACATCAACAAAACCTCCTCCATCTCCCTCCTCTTCTTCAACCACAAAAAAGTGACTCTCCATCTCCATCTCCATCTCCCCCTCCGCCTCACCACCACCACCACCACCACCACCGCCAGCAGGCAAACGACTGAAATCCGGCTCTAGCTCTAGCTGTGATTGCAGCTGCAGCTGTGGTTGCAGCTCCGAGGGTGAAGCTGAAGCGTACTGCCTCATCATCATCATGGTATCGAAATCCAGACCCGAATCAACTTGAAAGAAGTCGTCCCTGGCCCTGTCCCGATTCTCGTTCTGATTCTCGTTCTGATCCAGATTCAGATTCTCTCTCTCTTTCCTTCCAGCGGCAGTAGCCGTGGTAACAGAATGCTGGTTCTGGTTCTGGTTCTGGTTCTGGTTCTGTTCAATAACACTACTATCCGGTGGTGTCAGAGGGACGAAGACACCGCGCTGGAGCTGGTAGTGCAGGATGGTGGTGCTCATACTCATACTCATGCTCATGCTCCCGGATGATGGAGTTAATCAAGTTGAAAGGGTAAGAGTAAGAGTAAGAGTAAGAGATCAGATTTTCGGAGGGCTGAGAGCTTTTTCAAAATTGGTTTATAAAGGGAGTCTGTACGTGCAAGCTTTAGCTAGCTAGGTAGATTGGTAGGCGGTCCCGAGGGTGCGGTATGACAGCCGAGAAGGTATGTCGTGCTTGCTGATATTTGCTAAGGACTCTTTTTTATTTCCCTTTGTTGGCTTGTTGGCTTCGGTTTCGCGTGTTTCGCTTGTTTGGATAGATAGAGTAGGAGCTCCGAGGTTTTGTCTTGCGTGCTTGCTTGCTTGCTTGCTGGTAGGTAAGCAGAGAAAGGCAGTAAGTAAGTATTATGGGGGCTTGTTTCCGACTACTCGACGGCAGAGAGGTGGGTACTCTATCTGAAGTAGTGTCTGTGTGAGTTTGTTCGTTCGTTCGCTCCGTTCGTTCGAGCCGAGAGCGATTATTGTTGACGGATTTCGGGTGCCCACAGTGGGGTGGGGGTATCTTGCCGTGTCAGACGTACTGTCATTTAGTGTTTGTTGTGGATCATACAGTATGCACGGGAAACAAGTTGACTTTCGACGAAACGAAAACCTAAACCTTGACTTTGGGAAAAATGCGTATTTGGAGTTTGAGACGAAGTGTGAAGTATGAAGTGTACATCAACACATATACACATTGAACCAGAAGCGGCTTTCCCGCCACTAGCTACAGTAGCTAGTTGCCTTGACTTGACTCGCTTTTCTTGATCTTATCTACCGTCACCCAATTCGAAGGCTCTAAGCCAGCCTCGGATATGCAGCCTCAAAACTGTCAGAAAAAGAAAATATTTCAGTCGCCGACTGGCAGATCTACATACATACGGCTGAGGGAAGGGGAGGGAAGTCAAGTGCCCTGAGGTGCTTGAGGGAGGGAAAAGCGGGGGCGGCATCGGCGGGTACGTTGAGAAATTTCATGATCCGCTACAGTAAATTTACCTACAGAGCAGGGCGCCTAGGTGCTAATCGCTAGTTTGGTAGATCGGAGGGTCCTGTCAAGACAAGGTAGAAACTCAAAGCTTTGATTTGCATGCCTAGTTGTCAGTTCGTGGCTACAAACCTGTGTACCGTCAAGTCGCATTCAAGAGTAGAAGACATGCCTTACATAGCAGCGACATCTAGCTAAAAAGGACAATAACGTGGAATTAAACACACTTGTCAGTTTGTTAATTTCCGTGAATGTTCTGATAGGAAAACAGCAAAGAGCATTTCGTTGGACCTAATGTACCATGAGCTTCTCTCTAGCATTTGGCGGATAGTTGTTGACTATTTGCTGCAGGAATAAAGTACCAAATTACTCTACCTAGCCAAAGGATTAGAAAAAATAAAACTAGATCTCAAAAGTCCCCAGCAGATATACGACAACTTGCCCCATTCAACCAATTTCTATGTGTACTATATTCGCCACCACCATACACTCGACAGCTAGGTCCCCTCGCCACGCCACATCCCGAATCGTGACCCCCAACGCCCAACCGCCCTCTCAGGAGCAATTGTTTGGTCATGATATTGGAACGGAGTGGGGTGCGTTCATGCATGTATCACGGAGCATGTGTGATTTAGAAACCCTGGTCAATTTCAGGGAAAATACTGTAAGTGCCCCCCACATGGCTGGCTGTACATCATGTTAGGTAGGTACAGTAGTAGAGCCTTTTCTCTCAGCATGCATGGTAAGCTAGGCTAGGCTAGGTGGCAGGGCTGGTGGGTACTGCCGACTGGGTCTGTTTGGGCTGATCGTGAACGTGAATATGCGAAGGCCGAGACAGAAGATGGGACGCTTGTGATGAAGATTTCATGGCATCTGAGCTGACTGGCGAGTTGAGTTGGTAAAAATGGTCTCTTGAGCTTCTGGCTATCCTGCTTAAATCAAAGACCAGTACCAGAATAGATATACATATCTGATTTGGGGGTGTCATCTCATATCACATTTCTCTTGCAGATTATCTCTGCTGACCGGTCAGTCAGCTGCGGCAGAGCTAGGCGGGAGGGAATGTCTCGGGCAAGCAGTCTCCCGTGAGAATCTCCCATGGCAGATCTGGAGATCGTGGGGATAGAGAACAGAGGAGAATTGAGAATCCGAGATGGATGACGTACTTTGGAGTTTGGAGAAACACTTCGTTTTTGCCCCGGAGGAGTGTTCCTAACCACATGGACAGAGAGGTTTGAAACGGGCGCGGTGACCACGCCGTGATGTTTGAATGAGTACGCTATACTTTCGGTCCTACGAGTCCAAAGAAGGTATCTCGTTGATAGAAATGATGGTTTCATGAAGTGAAGCTGGATTGAGAGAGAAATTGGGATACAATTCTGGTGGCTCATGTGGCCTTCTTCTCGGGGTCAGCCATCTATTCACAGTGGTATTCCATCACTACTCATGAGAGGCCAGCACCTATACTTTGAGGGTGCAGGGTCAACCATAAGGCTGTCCAAGGTGCTGGCCAGAAGCTTGAGCTTCAAGCAACGATCAAAGGAAAGGGGAATTCCGGTGCCAATCTCGACCAAGCACCTGTGTAAGACGTCATGAGGGTGCTTGTTTGCTTCTTGCAGTGAGATAGACAGAGCTGGTATCGTGCAAGATGCTGAAAGATAATTGCTTGACTAGTGGTCGCATTGAAAGTAAACAAACCAAAGCGCAAGCGATAATTCATTGTTCAAAGACCAGAATCAGGTCTCAGCGACGGTTCAATAACCCGACATGTCTGGAAACATACTGACATCATATCTTCATATCCACAGCACAGTAAATCCCCATGTCCAACTTCAAGATTTTTTTTTTCATTTTCCTCCCCAAGCACGTCATTTAGCGAGAGATGGCAGAAGCGACTTGGCGCTAAGGAAAAGGGGTTATTCCAGGAACACACTTAAAGGCTTGGATGGCATCAGTGCAGCATATGACAGCGTCTTGATGCATTATTTTTATTGGTGAGATATGGTGTCTTTGATTTGAGTGTGGAGGTACTGAAGTGGGGGTGTTGTCATTATGTGGATTGGGGGACTGAAGTGAGACTACTGCAGGACTCTACACCCCGCGGAAGTAGCCGATTTCAGACACACGCTTCTGTTGGCTTAGGGTCGAAGTATTTCTACCACGAAAATGGAATTTACTGTTCATTAATACCTTAGAGGCAAAGGCAGGGGCAAATGGACCGTCCCGTGGCGCTCTTAGGACGGGTTTTTCGAAGAACAATCTCTAGTCTGGAAAACGTTCCTCGGACTGTCTTAGAACGGTTTAGGACGATTCGAAATTACTACCTAGGTGCCTTATACTTCATGGAATTTTTATTAATCCGAGTACTCCTTTTCAACCACACCTAGTTGTACCTTACACGTTAACTTAATAAAGTGAACTTTTTGCAAGTCAATTGATTTACCTACTCTTGGGGCTCAGTAGAAGTGGGAGTTAATCTTATACATAAGGTACCGAGTATTCAATTAAAGTAGAGAGAAATCGATTTATATTCCCTTATTGAGAAGGAACAAAGGGACTCTTACCTTAGAGGTAAAGTCCTTAAGAAAATAACTGTTCTAAGAAGGTCTGAGGAACGCTTTTAATCAGGGACAATTCCTATAAAAAGAATCGCCCTTAGACCGTCAAGGGACGTGTCACGAACCAGGCTCAGTCTTAGTACAAGTCACGGGTTAGCACTATAATACTAATAGTACTACTAAGTGGATAGCACCAGTCGGTGTTTAGTACCAAAGGGTTAATAGTACTATTAAGAGAATAGCACTAATAAGAGAATAGTACGAATTAGCGAGTAGTACTATACTCCACGCTTATTATTATAATAATAGTTATATTAATCATAGTAAACATAAGTCACGTGATATACTAGCTTACTAGACGGGCTTACGGGCTTACGCGCCTTGCAAGATATCTTACATAGCTTATATAAGAAGTCGGAAGTTCTATATAATAAGTAAGTAGTTTCCTAGATAGTAGAGCTTCATACTTAAATTAAATAGTAAGTTTACACCTAGTTTACTACTGCTTATAACGTCTTAATTCTTATTAAGAATTAAGCGTCTTATTACCTTACTTTATAGCTAATACTAACTAACGAGTCTATACTCATAACACTGACCGAGTTAGAAACGTTACACTTTAAGCACCTTACTTGAAGTATCATTAGTAAGACACAATAGCCCCTAAGGAAGGATCTGTTATAAGAGAAAACTCCTAGACTAGTAAGAAGGAAGATAAAGTTACTCTACCCCGAGTTAACCTACCGGATACCTTCTATAATTAACGATCTAAGCTAAGATAGTTCATACTCTAGTACTAGATATACCTAGCTTTCAACGGAGATAAGTTTAAGGCCGAATCCCTTAAGGTCTTATAGATCGCCTTATTCTTCCGCGACACTATAGCACACTAGATCGAACTAGCCCTTAGCGACTACCTTCTTAACTAATATATAACCGGAGCTTACTCTACTACTATAACCGAGAAGAGTCGCGTTATCTTCTATACTATCGTAGGATTTACTACAGCTATTAAGGGAGTCTTTAGAGACCCTAACGAGAAAGAATAGTCCGAGAAATACCTGCTTAGCATCCGCTAATAAGGATCTGTTTATAAATACACTACCGAGTTCTACTATTACTTTATGCGACTAGACTAGACAGATAGTGGTTTAAAAGCCTAGTACTATAAGGGCCTAAAGGACTATATCAAAGACGAACTCTCCAGGGCCGATAAACCTAACAGCCTAGAGGAAATAATCAAAACAGCTATAACTATCGACGAACGGATCTAGGAACGATAGAAGGAAAAAAGAGGGTATTTTACCCCTACTTAATATAGGAAGCCTCAGTTCCCGGAATAATATAGGAAGAGAGAAGGAAACTTCTAACCCTACCCCAATAATAAACGGAGTCATTATAACCCGATAGAAATAGATAGAGCTAAGAGAAGAGGTAAGGGCTAGGCTAAGAAGCAG